ATATATATATATATATATATATATTTTTAGGATATCACATCAGAAATGTCAAAATCGCACTACACAATTGCAGTTGTTTTTCTATGCGCATATCTCATCAGACGATTGTAAATTACTGGTGAGTGAACGATTTAATCAAATTTAAAAACAAAATACAGCCTCTTTTTACAAAAAAGAAAAGTGGAGGTAATTATAAGAGCGATGCCTCACTGGTCTCAGATTCCGATTAGCTCTCATCGTCCAGCGGTGGTTGTAACTGCGTCGACGGACGCAGGTCCTTAACGTGACGGGGCACACCGTCGACCCGTACCGCCTGTGGGCTGATCACCTCAGTGACGCGTCCGATTCCGTATTTCGTGGTGCACTTGCTGTGCGGATTTTTTAATCAGACGACATCGCCTTTCTTCAGCCTCTCTCGGTTACTTTCAGTTCCGTCAGTGGGTTGGTTTCTATGCCCTTCACTCTAACGTGGTACCTATGCAATGTGTCTGCTGGCGCCGTAGAGGGCGAGACATCATCCTTCGGGGTCACGTTATAAGTAGACCGCCTCAGACACCGCGCAGCCCGTCCTGGCTGCGATGGTCTTGACGGTCCTGTGGTTCCGCCGATGATTCCATTTCCACTGGTACGGGGCGCACCGAACCGTAAGTGCACTCCCCAGCCATCCGCAAACTTCCCGAACTGCTCGCTGGTGAATGCGGTGCCATTGTCGGTTAATATCTCCGTTGGGGGGCTACGTTCAAGAAAGATGCTGTTTAACTGACGGATGATAGTGGCTGCATCTTGCCGACGCAGCAGTCGCCATATCGCAAACCTGGATGGACCACAACCAATGAGTGTCAGGAAATGCTCGCCGTTGTGGTGAGTAACATCTATCGCCAGCCGGCTCCAGTGGTTCCTCACGCTCAGCTGCCCTTTCTTCCAGCGAACGGGTGCTGGGTCTATAGACTGGCACGCCACGCAGCTTCTGACCACTCTCCCCTGACGTCTGTCTTTTGTACTCCTGGGTCAACCAACTTGGCGAAATACAGTGTCCGCTTGACTCCAGGGTGCCCACTTTGTTGGTGGACTTCTTTGATTTGATTAAATCGAACGGGACTCACGGACGCAGCGCAGGCTGGTTGCACGGGCTCAATGGCTTTCTTAGCGGCGTCAAGCCACCTTTGCGGCACCCTCGTTAAACAATCTGCTTTGTTGAGGCTAGATTTGACCAGGGACACCTCCATTGTCAGTGCGCACTCTTGCACTAAATTCACGATCGTGTCGAGCCGTCGTCGGATAAGCATCTCGCTGGTGGCTTTAGTCCGCACCCTGGCCCTCCCGGTCAAGGTATCAGAGATCCACTTATAAACGCAAGCGGAATCAGTGAATAAACGCAGGGTGGTCGACTTCCAGAGGATCGCCAAGTTGATCCCCTTGATGACAGCATCGAGCTCCGCTAGGTTTATGTGCTGGGAGTCCCTTTCTGGACGTAACCAGCAAGCATCTTCTACCACGGCTCCATCGTGAACTATCGATCGCCGGTTGCAAGAGAGCTTCGTCAACCCACACAGAGGTCTTGGCTGTCAACGCACCATCTGCCCCGCGCTGGGTCTTCCTTCGCGTTTCTCTAGCGAGAGGACCTCCTTCATCATGGTGTTGAAAGGGGCGTCGTGAACCATCCCATCCAGTGGTGACGTCAGATGCTCTCCGCTGATAAACGCCACCGCAACATGCAGCCATCCACCTACAGGAAGGTGTCCAACTAACTTGCCGCACAAGGAAAATATGCTTCGCCCGCGTGACAACGGAGGGCATGTCTGGGAATTCGTTTCCCGTTTCCAATACAGGACGTCATCTTCTCCCCAGACCTGCAAACCAAGCACCCATGCACCATCCTGTAGTCTCTCCGGTTCCTTGCTGAGGAGGCCAAAGTTGTAGAGATGCTCCTTCACGCGCGCCCGCAGATATGACTCCCCTCGTTCACGTACACGTCATCAATATATGCAGATGTTGCCCGCTGTCGCTCATCCTTCGTTAGAATGGCGTCCAACAATCATCTGCATAATCGATGGCGCCACATTGAGTCCAAACCCCATGTGGGTCAGGCAATACCGTTGCCCCTTGATAAGTTTTGTTTGATAGGGCCACAGTGATTGGTGCACAAGCACTTGAAGGTATGCCTTGTGAAGATCCAGCACAGATACATTTGATCCTGCATGTCGCCATTCCCTTAGCTTCTCGGTACACACGTCCGCTGCGGGCAGTAAAAAGGTCCACATGCTCGTTCAGTTCTCGATAGTCGAGCACTGGCCTCACCTTTTGTTTGTTGTGCTGGAGAACCGCCATTAGCGGGATCAGGCCCTTTAGGGGCCCCAAATCCTTCTCTGGATAAGGAACCAACCACCCGTTATTAATCCATGCTCGCAATTCCTTGTCGTATCTCCGACGAGCTCATGGGGATCTTATACCCAGCACACTGTTGTACAGCTTCTCTGGCGGTTGATCATCTGACCATTTCAAGATACCGTCCAGGACTTTGTGCGCTGGTCGAACTCCGCGACGAAAGTCAGGCCGCTCCAGCTCCATTGCTGCACCTAGAGCTAGACCTGTTTCAGTGAAACGCCCTCACCCTCTTCGTCAACACGGACACCACCCAATTTTTTTGATCACGTCCATTCCTAGGAGCAGATCATAGCCGAGCAGCCCTCCGTCCACGACCAGGGCTTGTACAGCTACTGCAGGCCCATCGCCGATGCTTGCGCGCAGATGACGCTCACTCCACAAGAGGTTAGCGAGCCCCGCCAACAGTCAGAACTGGAATACTTTTCTTGTCCCACGTGTCACAACATGCCTTGCGCACAAGGGTCTGGGTGCACCGGTGTCAACAAGCGCGAAGCGCTCACGCCCGTTAATCCGCACGCTCACCGCGGGTAGCGCCTTGTTCAGCAGCGATCTGGGGAGAAGACTGGCGCTGAAGCACTCCCCTGCCCGTTTCCCGGACAGCTTCTTGCTCGTGGCCCAGCTTGTCGCACCTGTAGCAACGCATATGTCTCCGTGTTCCTCGGTTATGCGTATCCTTCGCACCGCTTCGGCAGTCTTTGGAGAAGTGGTTCAGTCCGCCACATTTATAGCACCTTATGTCCTCAGTTGGCGGTGCGGGTGCTTCCCCAGCTGCTGAGGCCGGCTCCATGTCATCTTTTTAGAATATTCCGGGCTCTGGCCAGTAATTCGTCTAGCCCCAGCTCATTGAGCCTTGACGATGCTCGTAGCAGTTGACTTGCATTGTCTGGGAGTCCTGCCAGAAAGGCGCATCCTAGGATTTGGTCGCTTGCTCCACCGAACGGTGCGCCAGCTTCCTCAAATCGGCCAGAAAGACATCTACTGTTTCATCCGGTCCAAGCCGTCGTTCGCAAACTGCCTCCAGGCGACAAAGGGGTCCGCACCAAATGCTGTGTATAGAGCTTGTTTTATTTCCTCCAAGTCTGCGTCATCCCTTAGCTGCTGATACACAGCGTAAGCTCCTTTGGTGAGTCTAAGAGGGATAACCAGTGCGGGATCTTTAATTTTACTCAGCCGGCAGACCCGCTCGGCCTTTTCCCCACCACTTGACCACAGACGGCCAGCGGGGAGCCGTCGAACTCTGGTATTAACTTCAAGTCGAATCTGTCCATGCTGTAATAATTGCCGAAATAGCTTGTAGCAAATGAGTCGACTTAAACAGTGTAAGGGACGCAACTCTTTCCGTCTGAAAATGTCTGACACGCTGCAACGCAAAAAACAATGTACACCAAGCACAGGTGAAATGTTGGTCTGCCAATGTCTCCAAGCAACCTGCTTTTATGGAGCCCAGACACACCTCATTAGCATGTGTGTAACGCGACTTTGCATGACTGCACGAGACCGTGAATATTAAAAGTCACGGACGCCATTTTGAATCTTTTCTTTCCTTTCTCAACCCACAGGCCAGGCAGATGCGAGAACGTTTGTGAGGTAGGCCGTTTCTATTTTCCCCACAGTTTGTAAGCTATGTTTTCAATGTAATATCCTAAAATAAAGAATATCGCTCTACTTTGTATTTAGTCCACTTGTAGATTAAATGTTATGAAAATTGGAATTGTACTTTATTAATTCTCATCTTACCTGGATATATATATATATATATATATATATATATATATATATACAGGGTGTGATGAGTAAAGTATCACCATTATATATTTTTAATTTTGTGCATATGGGTTGTTTGTTTTTGATTTTGTCAACTGCACAGTATAGTAGGGTCAGTTGGGCACCGTCTGTGAGAAAAAGAGCACCCTGATACAATTCACTCTACCAGAATTTTGGCAACAGCATTCTTTACTGCTTGGCATTCATGCCAGAAGCTCCAATACAAACATTTCCAAGTGTTTGGGTGTTAATCTGAGGGCAGTGCAGAGGATTTGAAAAGAGTTGGATGAGTCTAATAGTGATTATGAAGGTGTTTGGGATGATCACTAGTGATGGCGACATTATGTCTCCATTCATCTTCCCACAGTGCCTCAGACTCAACATAGAGGCCTACATCAAGTGCCTTGAGGAGGTAGTGCTGCCCTGGGTCAAGAGAGTCAAGACCATATGTCTGGTAACAGGTCTCTGAATCATGTCACACAAGCAGGAGAACCCAGTCATGACTGAAAGAATTTTTGTGACCACAATATATTGTGTCTACTTATTTTTACAATAATCCATTCTAGTTCTCTAATCAACTTCTTGATGTTAAGTTGACATTCACCAAATTGCCATTAACCTAAGTACTTTCGATCTCTTCCAAGACCATTCTCAAAGATAAATTATAAAGATGAACTTAAGGTAAGTGTGATCGTTGTCATGGTGATTTTTAAAAACACATGTGAACATGTTCTGTTAGAATTATTTTAGAATTAAGGGATTAGACAATTGGAAAGGATTATAAAAATAAGGACACACAATTTATATTATTCAATGAAATATATATATATCTTTTTTTTTTCTTTTTGCAGTGTGGATTCAATGGCGTTGCCTGCAATAGATTGGAAGAAGAAGGAGAAAATGTCCTGGAATTGGAAATGTTTTTCACAGGTTTTTCAACAATCTCAAGCCTTCAACATTTCCCAAACTTGAGGAAACTTGTGGTTATGCATCAAAGCATAACACGTATACAAGGATTGGAGACATTGATTTTGCTTGAGGAATTATGGCTTTGCGAATGCAAAATTAGCGTAAGTCACAAAATTCTTGAAATAATAATAATAATCTGTTATGGTATTATCAACTTTTTACTTATTAGGAAAAATTCATTGACTGAGAAACAAGTTCTAATTTTGGTGGAAATTTATAAAATCTTGCTCTTAAAACAATTTTTCAGCAAGATAGGTTTCACAAGACCTATAACTGTTATCTCTTTTTCTATTATTTTTTTTTTTTTGTAGGGGGAGGCTTATTTCCTTCCTAACCTTTTGTTTCCAGTAATGTGGAATTGCCTTTAAAATTCCTCAAGTGATATGGTTTCTGTTATTTGTTACAGTTCTTTGTTTGCAATTCTGTAGCAGCAATCCACAAGGTTCAAAGTAGGATGTTCTCCACTAAGACCTACACATTTCATTTGCTCAATGCCATTTTTAACCAGAGCCTCCAAGAGAAATTTTGAAAGACAGTACAAGACCGCTTTGAGGCAAAGATTTATCTCAAAATTGAGGATTTGATGTTCAGTAAATTTACATGTAAACTCTCATAAATGCTTTATTTCCATGATCAGATATAACATAATGTAGCAAACATATTTAATTAATACTGCAACATAAATCAGTATTTACGGTTGCATTTTTTGGAGTTACCTCCTCCTAAATTTTGAAACCGCTACTTGGGGCGCTCTTCATATACTATATATACTCGGCGAGACTTTGTCTTGTTCTCTTTCTCTTTTCACTTGTCAGCAAAACACTACAACAATGTAAAGCTCTTGCAGAAGAAAGTGTTCCCTCTTGTGGGGCACACATGAACATTACACGCACACACACGTACATACAAACATTCATTCATACATACTTTCAAACACAAACTTAATTCGTACACACACATTATTGTCTTTGTCATTTGTATCCCTTTTTTGTTTGTTAATACATTATTATTTGTCTGTATATATGTATTGGTTCTTGTTTCTTTTATTTCTTTATGGTGGACTCAATCTCCAAGTCCACCATGTTTGTTGTGGGCCATTTCAGGAGACGCATGTGTTCATCTCACAACACATACACAGGCCCACAACACATTCACCAATCACCTTTTAGCTTTCGTCATAGAGAAATGCTTTTTAAATGTTCCTAATAAGATCTTGAACTCTCTAACAATTACAATACATAAAGTCTTGATACATTCAGGAACATGATGATGCAAAAATTCTGGTGTGCGCTAGTCACATTATTACACTAATTGACACATCTATGTACCTACCTGGGGCTGTAGGTAGATACTCTTAGTGTTATCAGATGTTTATACAAGTTGGCCTATAATAGTTAATAATAAATACTAATAAAAAGTAAGTGTGGTGTGAGAAGTATAGTGATGTTTGAGTATATGAATGTATGTTGGGCTTGGGATAGTAGAGAGTGTTTGTTCTCAAGTCGGGGGATGGGTGTTGCATGGTTACTGTGGAGTCCTTCTTAGTTCTTGGGCCCCAGAACAAAGTAGTAGCTGAAACCCTGCTTCTCATAGACCCTGTTTTTAACCATTGACCTTTACAGAAGGTTAGTGATGTAGAGTGGGAACCAAGAACCAAGCATAAAGTACAAGAAGACAGAATGCATGGTCATCAGTGAAAGGCTGAGACCAAAATGCAATTTGCAGGTTGGGAACACTAGAATCAAGCAGACACAGAAGAGTATTGTGAGACAGGAGGATTTCTTTGGTAACAAAGAAAAGAATACTGAGCTGTTACATGACATCTGTCCTTCTTTATGGCAGTGAATGTTGGAAAATTTTTCTCAAAGATGAAGAAGAGACTCGAGGTGACAGAGATGTGCTTCTACAGAACGATGCTAAGGATATCATGGACCAATTAAAAATTTAGGAGAGAATACATACAACTGTAACTCTCTGAATGCACATCCATTTTTGTGCATGTCTCTGGCAGTCAGATAAACACTTTTAGTCAAATAAAATTCTGAAGCAATGTTGAGTTTCATCCACAGGTATTTTATTCACCAAAAAAGGTAAAACTGAAAAGGAATTAAAATTACAGTTTCACAAAGAATATGAACAGAAAATAAGAAGAAATATGTGCTGGGCTGGGCTTAGATATAACAAAAATGCTGAGGGTGTTAGATAAAAACACAGCGCATCAGACAATTTTTAGAAAAAAGGGTAGTTCAAAGGTCAAAATAATACTAAGAAGATAAAGGCAGTGAGTACATTGAGAATCAATGAGTGAGGCAAATTTAAATGTCCACATGTTAGGAAAAATATTTATAAAATAGTACAAAAAGGAAAATACTATGAAATGTCAATTTATTGAATAAATAATTTCTCTGCTTGCAGAGGAGGAAATAAATAACTCTTACCAAAGATGCTCGAGATAAAAACGGTTTAAAAAGTAGGACTGAGGAAAGGTGTCATAAATTAAGGCGAGAGTTCTCTTTTTGAACTGGTATCATCAGAATTTCCCGTAAAAGACAAGGGCTATTAAGGAAGATAAAAGCTTCAATTAACAGGTAACAAGACAGCTACACTTTCATCCCAGCCAAAAGGCTAAGATGTGATGTACTTAATACAAATGAACTGACAAAGGCAAAATTGGCAGAACTTAAATGCAGCTCCTAGATTAAACACTCACTAACTAGCAGGGTTGCCAAACCACCTGCTGCAAATTTAAATACAGTTAATTTCTGTTGTGGTTTACCATTCTCTCTCTCTTGTATACAACTTGTAATTTTTCTGAAGGTGCCTTCATTTTTTTTTTTTTTTTTTTTTTTTTAGAGAGAGAGGCAACCTGTATCAATCTTGTAAGGCTTTATGTACAGTGGTGTTTCACAATTTTTGAACAAAATGATCAGGCACAAATCAAGGACCACAAATGATAGAGTAATGGAAATTACATCTATTAAAAGGTAAAAGGATAACATTTTAGTATTTGCAACCATTTAGTCTCAAGCATAAACCAAAAATATCAAGAGGAGCTCTAGATTACATGCTCCAGATGTCAGCCGTTCACTTGAAGGCACTTTTGAATGCAAAGTTATTGATAATGCATGCACATTCCTCTTGGGTGATTCCTTGAATCTTCTCAGTGCTGGTTGCCTTCAATGGTGCAAGGGTTGCACTGGTAGATGTTGTGCTTGAGGAATCCCCACAGGAAGAAATCTGGGGGGTTCAGGTCAGGTGATTGATGTGCCCCTTCCACTTCAGTAACACTCCCCAATCTTTTCACAGAGCCATGACATGGTAACATTAGCAGTGTGAGGAGGAGCACCATCCTGCTTGAACCACTGTTCCACCCCAAGATCTCCCCATCTGAGAGCCCCTTTGCTTTGTTTCAACAATTGTGAAACACACTGTATTTCACTTCTTTCAATCATGATATTCAAATTTTATTTTAGCAGATTTCCAACATACAAATCTCATTGATTTGTCCACAAATAAATTTCAAATTTTTTTAACAGTTTAAATTTTTAAAATTTTTATATTGCAGGGTTGCCATGGTACCTATTTTTCCTTAGATTTTTTTATATTGACCTAAAGACTTTTAAATAACAAATACAGGTACACCACTGATTTTTTGGCATCTCTGCAATAACGATTCAATAATGCATTCTTTGACTCTCTAAAAAGGTGTCTTTTGTATCTCTACAGCATCATCGACTAAACAATTAAGTGATTGTGCACCACACACATTGCACCTGTCAGGGCAAGTGTCTTGTTCCTCAACAATTTAAGACATGCACCAAATATATAATACACTCCCTCAAAAATCTTTGATACAGGGGACCCACTCTACTGTATCTCATAAAGTAGTATTCATATAAAATACAAATTTTATTATAACCCAATTATGTACAATAATAGATGAAATATAGGGGGAACAATTCAACTAGAAAAATTGAAAATAAATACAATGTATTTAGAAATACAAATTAGAGACATATCATAATAGATCATTCCAACTTAAATAAATCAGAAATGTTTTGTGACAATTTTTAACACCAACTTGTGATTTTTCTTGTTAAAATGTTAAATAATTTAACACATTATGGATAAAAAAATAATTAATTTTATGGAGTGTATTTGTGAGTCTCAGTATGAGCAAAAGAAATTGATGGATTTGACTAAAAAAAAAATCCCAGACTAATGTCAAAATCCACAAAAATTTTCATCCTTTAATAATCAGCGGTGCTTAGTTTAATTTGTAACATGTATAAATTTAGGTAGTAAAAAGCAAATGTTGATAAGATAGCAAGAGTCACAAAGCACTACCCAATGCTCCCAATAAGTGCTATAATTCTGGGGACTTCAGGGATAGTACACACCAGTCCTAGCACCTGTTAGAGCTCTGTGAATTAGTCTGACATAGGCATGAAATTCAAATGCATACTTGTAATTATGTCCAAAAATTTATGACTAAAAGAGGTACCAGACCATCATTTGCTGGAAAATCAGTTGCTACACCTGTATGGTTTGTTTACATTTTTGGCAATGATTAACATACCAGAATAAAAATGGTGTCTTCACCAGGATGGTTTTTCTTGACACCACCATTACTTTATATACCCTCTACAATTATTGTTGTTTTAAAAATATGTTCATCTTATCTGGTTTTTGCCTGTCCATACATTGAGAGTTTTTCTCTTGACTGAGAAAAATACTGGTGTTATATAGCTCTCCCAGTCCCAGACCCACGCTGACAATTGGCTAATACCTGCCCAGTATCGTTCATGTAGAAATAGTCAGTGCCACCTACTCTCAGTTGAAGGTCTTCTCTCAACAGCCCATCATGGAAAAGGAGGCAACTCCTAGTGGGTGTTTACAGCACCACATACAACCAACTTGGAATCTTTTATCAGGCAGATGCAATTCTCTGTTACAAAAAAGCTATTTTTAGAAGTTGAATAAAATCCAAACACATGAAATTTTATGCATTCTCTTTTTTTCTTTTTGAATAATTGACAACAAAAGAATTAAACACTATTAGGTTGTTTATTTACAAGAATCGTTTTTATTTACAAATCTATGAAAAATATGTAAACCAACTACAAGGCAATATTTATTACTTTTTATATTATAAAGAAATAAGTATGTAAACAAATCTTTTTATTCATAACTTTATTTTTCATAGATTTATAAAATTGTCTCTTAACATGAGAATAAGAAAATTTAAATAAACACAATGTAGTTTGAATGAACAAAGAAGAGAAAATGGAATGTCACTTACCTTGTGGTGAGGGAAAAGAAGAAATGGCGACAGGTGATTTCTTTTATAGAAAGATATTATGGCAAACCAGGAGAAAAAGATAAATTATGGGAAGGAAGGAAAACTATAAAATTCAACCGAAAATGGAAATCAGGGATTTTGTTTGCTTTTTACAAGAAAGGATGCAGCAGAGGAAGAAGGAAATTTGAGAGTAACGAAGGACAAGGGAGAAGCTTCTATCTTCTTTATTTTAAACTTTCAAACCACACAGGAGTAACTGCAGGGTCCACCACAAAAAAAAAAAAAACAGGAAATTTTAGACTTACTATATGATGAAAACAAATTAAGTAACATTTTTTAAAAAATAACTTTTTTTACCTTGAATATCACATCTAACATTTATGTGGGGCACCTGTAATTATAAATTTTGAAAAAATGTATTTTGAAAGCATTTCTTCTATTTCTTCTTGCCACATAAATTCACTAAGACAAAACATTTTAATTTATACTTTTTTTACTCAAGATCTGACAACAAAAATGTTAAATACTATTTTTATATTAGACTGTTTATTTACAAGAATAGTGTTTAATACTTTTGTTGCTAATTCTTGAGAAAAAAGAAACTGTAGAAATCCAGTTTCATGTGTTTGGGTGGGTATGTTGGTTTGCAAATAGATATTGAATAACAATAGACAACTACAAATAAAACAAAGACAAGTAAAAAATATATTGCCAATTTTATTTTCATTAAAGAAAATACATCAATACAAATATGGTTACAGTGCACTAGGCAAAAAAATATCTCTGCATGTTCCTGTAAAGGGTGAGAAGAGCATTGTCCTGAAAAAAAAAAAAACAGTTTTGTAGCCAATGAGAATTCTGGTCTTGTAAAGGACAGTTTATTGTATATTGTTGCTGCTGGAACAGATATTACATTTTGATCCTAGTTGTCTGGGCCATGGATCTCAGTATTTACCCAAGTTCTCGTCATGTAGTACAAGGCTGTTTTTTTTTTTGGATTTTTTGTGGGGTATTCCGAGGCCATAGGCTGAGGGAAAAATTTTCCATAGACCCCACAATAATGGGGTTGGGTTTGTCTACCTCCCCAGATGAGACTCTGCCCCTTGGCATAGCTTTGTCTGGGTTCCTCCCTGCTCAAAGGCAGAGATGTTGACAAGCTAAGAGCTTTAATGAACTGGGCCATGGAACTATACTTTTTGAGCTTTGAGGGTTTTTTTTATATCTTAAATCAGTTTTACAAAAATTTCTAGTTAAGCTTTTTCTTCTGGTTGTTTTTTAAAAAATGTGGGAGTACCAACAGGATATTACATGGTTCATATTAAAATTCTAAAAATGAATTTTTAAAACAATAAAAATTGCTGAGCATGTTTACAGTAATAGCAGTGTTTAGGGAAAAACTTTTCTTTTGACATACTTTTATTTATTTATTTATTTTTTTCTTAATCTTGCAGAAGATTGAGAATCTCAGAAAATGTGAAATGCTGACAAAACTCTATCTTTACGGTAATCGCATCTCCAAAATTGTCAATTTAGACAACCTCATTGACCTGCAGGTGCTCTGGCTGTGTGAAAATAAAATCTCAAAGATTGAGGTAAGTCATATCTCTCCCACCTTTTCAGGTTTGATTAATTGTTCGGCTAATAATGAAAACTATGAGAGAACACAGTTGAAAATTTACAAATAAATTGACTTCACATCACATCTGACGGCATAAAAGCCTCACTAAAATTTATGACATATTTCCATTTCAACAGTGAAAGTCTATGAAAAAATACTTTTGGCAATGTTTAACATTTGTACTTCCAAAAAAACAAAACAAAATGTAACAGTGTGTCAAAAGGGTGTTTTTTTTTTCTTTTTATTGTACATGGTGTCCCTAAAGTCTGGACACAGAAAAGTCAAATGAAACCCTCCTGGGATGATTTGCATTAAATTCATCTGCGATCTTTCAATATGACCATCTTTCACGTCCAATGTTGTTCTTTTGACAAAACCATGTTTAATTTTTGGAGGTAAGAAAAGAAATATAGTTAAGGACATTTCTTAAGTGTCTAGACTTTAGAGACACTTTGTATAATCCCTAAACAATGCAAATTGTTTTAACCCTTTAGTATTCAACACACTCAAACATGCCCCCTAAATATCAGCTCTCAAAGACTCACTTGTTGGTAGTCAAAGTCTCACTGTTTGTGTGACTACCTGCGTTATTTGTGATGATGATGTCATACACCTTTGTGCAAATTAATTGAAAGTAAACAAATAATTCTGTTATTATTTACTTTTTTTCCTATTTTTCCAATGAAACATGACCCAGTACACATATTAGTACTTCATATGTCCATTCCATGAAGTAGTTCCTTGCAGCTCGACCACAGTTTCTTGATTCAATTTAAATCACAAGAGTTTCTGAGCCAGTCAGTAGTACTTTGATTGGCTCACTGGTAAAGCTAGCAAGTGTATTCATGTATTATTACAATTTTTGTACGCTTCCTTGGAATAACATCCATCGCAGACAATGGCCATAGGACAACAAATCAACAGTTGAGACAATAGTGTCTGGATGTGATAAAAATTTGATGCAATCATGGATGATGCAATATTTTTCAGTTACTCATCATTTGTTTATTGAAATTTTTTTCTTCACAGACAATATTTTTATAAATTTATGAATAAAAAAATTGTTTTCATAGTTATTTATTAAATACTAGATAATAAATATTATAGTTTGTTCACATATTTCTATAAACTTGTAAAATTATTCTTGTAAATAAACGAAGCTTATAAAATAAATGGTGTTTAATTCTTTTGTTGTCAATTCTTGAGAAAAAAATAGTTTCATGTGTTTGCATTTTATTGAATTTCTAAAAATAACTTTACAGAACAATAAAATTTGCTATAGGAGTATACAGTAATAGCGGCATCAAGAGAAAAATCATCCCCTTGACACACTCTGCATTTTTGCAGAAACGGATGTCAAAGTTTGCCAAATTTTCAGTCTAAAACTTACAAAAGGGAATTATCTATATAAGACAATATATGTATTTGCATATTTTTTGTCTGTAACTTTTGATGTAATGAAGCAAATATATAAAATAACAAGTGAATCCTGCCTTGATTTGAATATCAGGTCAAGAAATAACCTATAAAAATTTTCTTCTCTATTAAATCTAAGTTCTCGTACCAAACACAAAAAGCTAGTTAGTAGGAACAGCAAGTCATAATGGGTGCAAATTAACAAAATATGACTCAACCACTGCATAAAATTTTAAAGGAAAAACATTTATTACACAAGTACAAAAAAGGTACAAATACAAAATTTGCATAAAAATTTTCAGTTAGTTTGCAGTATAAGCACCAAAAAATGAGAATGTACCATTGTGGTGTGAAATTGACTATTTCAAAAATGACATTAAAACATTGTGCTCACTTACCATTTACGATTTATCATCAATGTAAGTTTGATCTTTTTCATGTTCTCCAACCATCATTACTGGCTTTGTTTATATACATTTGCCTCTAGTCATAGTGTGCGGAAGCTTACTTAGTAAACAGTCTTTTTACAGCTTTTCATATCTTACTGGTCTTGATTGCTGCACAATTTTCATGGATGTTATTTTTAAATGTGCTTATGTATCTGGGCCAGAGCATACAATTGCCGAAACATTGTGATAAATATGGCAACAAAGATGAGGACAATAGTCTGAATAATATAAATAGTTAAGTTTTAAATGAATAGCATTTTTTCTTTATTGTCCTTAACAAATCTAATTATAGCTAATTGTTGAGGGGTCCACCCCTTTTTATACAAATGGACTCACCCAGTGTATACTTATACTACTGCCAGTGAATACCCAAGGAGTCAAGTCGAGTCCTGAGTGACAGAGTAAAAGGTTGTAGGTAACCGGAAGAGTGAGGGTGAGGTAACAGCGTTGTAGGAGTCACAGTGAGCGAGCACGTAGACTCATTAAGAAGTCATACAGTGATACTTCAATACCAAAGACTATATATATATTTTGCTACTAACCCGTATTCCTGGAACTATTAACCTGCTTTACCAGTTTGTATTATTATGTTAATACATTATTTTTTTATATATTCATTCCTGGCATTTGTTATTTATTGGTACTGAATTTCAACTTGGAATACACAACACTAATGAAACAGAATCTCACCCTAAAATGTAATTTATGAAGCTTTAAATTCAAGAAACTTTCACAACACATAAAAAAGTACATTGTTGAAAAAAAAAAGTAAAAGATCCTTTTTTTTACTTTTCAGGCACATATTTTTTTATTTTTAGTTGTCAGATTTTACATTTTTTTTTTGTGCATTATTTCATGCATTCATTTCAAACTTTGTGCAGTAATCAAGACAAGTGAAGACAAGACAAGTGACTACACGAGACAAACATATGTAAGCAAAGCCAGTAATGGCAGACATTCTGAGTATGCAACAAGAAAAAAGTCAAACTTATATTGTTCATAACTTCTAAACAGTAATCAAGCGCAATGTTTTAATGTCATTTTCAAAATAGTCAGGCAATTTCACACCAGAATGGTACATTCTCATTACTGGGCATTTTTGGTACTTATGCTGCAAGTTAATCAAATTTTCTTTGTGTGCCTTTTAAGACAGGATAACAATTTCTGATGAAAAGGATTACCATCAAAAAATGGAAAAAATTACAATTTCTATTTAGAAAAAAAAAATAAAGGATTTTGAAAATGAAAAAAAGAGAAAACTATTCACTTTTATTTACCCCACAAGCATCTCTGGGACATATAGTAATTTTAAAAAAGTCCCTTTTAAATTCACAGTTCATGCTAAATTTCTTTGAATTCTTTTCATTCATTGTTGTCTAACCAAAGGAGAATTCTCATTTGAAATTCAAAATTCTTTAGTCATTCTGCAGCTGGCTCATAACCTTGTGCCATTTTGATGCTCTCTTCTTCATGTCAAATGCCTTCTGCATCTTGATCTTGATTTGCCTTGTCTCCTTGCTCTCAAAAAGACTTTTCTCTTTTTCGCCCACTGACCTGAGTTCTATTTATTTGCAAAAAGAGGCTCACAGAAAACTTCATTCAAGTTTTCACAAGGGCATGAGACCATGGCTCTCATTGGCCACAAAATATGAAAAAATAATTTTCCATAAACTTGAAATGGATCCTTCACAATTTTAATGGCTTTTAATTGCTGAGCCCAAAAAAAATATACAAGTGTAATAATTTTTTACACAAAAAAAAAATACACTTCTCTCAAAAGAGCATGTACTAAAAACAACAACCTTGATAATTAAGCATTTATTCAAGACGAACATTTTTAAAGTAGTAAAATAATTTTTTTATAAACCAGTCAAGTAACATATTCATTATGCCAGTGTTCTTTTGTTTGAGCAGCATGGTAAAATTAATTTACAAATACTAATTCAAGTACTTCACATACTTGACCAATTTTTGATGATGATGATGATTTTTCCATTGACCTTTGCTTTCTTCTTCCAATGAAGATGGCTTAAATTGTCTCTCTTGATATTACCTAGGCCACAGAGGCTCAAACAAAATATAGAAGTGAATAAGTTAAGAAATCCGTGGAGAAAAAATAAATTTCCTCACTAAAAATGTAACAGCTACACAAGTTGTTGGAAATATATTGTAATTCTAAAATATCATATATTTGACAAGGTCAGTTGACAGTCACAAATACCACAAAAAAGCAAAAAAAAAAAAAAGAAGTGTGTTGTACTCCTTTCATTGTAATGAGGCGAGATTTTCTTGTATAAAAAGTTGTTTCTCCCTCCCAAATTCTTCAATGAGAATTTTTGTCTTGGAGAAACATGGTCTGCATTTGTTAGGTTTGGGAAGTTCTTTCGCTTCACACTCTCTATGATAACAAGTAGACAGCAAAATTTCATAACTGGAGACAATAAAAGTAGCCAATACAGGCCATATGTGCTGTGTTAAACCAAAACAACCAAGCCAAACAAAACTTAATTTTTTTACTTTCATTCTTTCTTATTTCCTTCCATATAAGTACTTCAATTGAACAGTTTCTCTCTTGTTCTTTTCCTTCAATGCATTCAGTTTCTATCCTTCCCTCTCTTCATAATACACTTTCCTTGATTCTTTGACTTTCTTTAAAGACACTTCTCTTCCTCTTTTCATCCTATTCTTGCTTTTTTCATTCTTTACTGTTCTTTCTTTCCTCTATATATGAAACTTATTAAATAAATGAAATATAAATTCAAGAAATATGAAGTGGCTTAAGATTTGCCATCAGTGACCTTTAAGTGAAATAACAGACACACACGCACACACACACCTATGTAGATATAGAATCTTTATCCAAATGCTTATCTCACACTGGCTTAAATTTGTTTCATTCTCCAACAGAACTTGTCTTCATTGAAAAATTTGAAAGATTTAAATTTAGCTGAAAATCAGATCGTCAGAATCGGTAAGCCAGTTTTCCAATTATTAAAACTTTTCATGCAAACTTCATTTCTTGAAATAAAAAAAAAAGGCATGAGAATGGAAGTCCCAAAATTCCACTGTGAGTGCATTCTTTGGAACATGAGTATAGGCAGTGGATTCATTATTCCTGTTCCTTGAAAATTGGGAGTTCAATTCCCATGCTATGCAATATACCGACTTGAAAAAATGAGAGGAAAAATTAATAGTTATCAATTTAGTAATCTTTGGAACACCAGATATATCCAACCATAGCTCTCATGTGCAATGACCCCCCCCATACCCAATACTTCATGATCCCAACTTCCAGCACACCATTTGACCCCCTCCTTCTCCATGCCCCATAACCCCCGTGCCTCATGAACTCCTGATACCCTATAAAACCCCATGCCCCATTTCAAAAAAACATTCCAGTCAAAAGTTTCTTAACAATTACTGAATGCAACATACAACAGAGGAAGGCTGAAGAACCCACCAGCAAAAAGGTTGTGATAAAACAGATGAAAGCATAATTAAAATTGTTTATACTTTTTTAAAGAAATAAAAAAAAAAGAACAACTGGATATCAATATCGCGATGGTTTTATTGCTAGTTTTATTCCATCTTATTATAGCTGTTTTTTATCCCAACACTGGGTCAATACACTCTTCATTATTAATATTATTTTTATTTGATTTTTTAAATCCAAATTCGGGGCCTTCTTCCTCCTGTTTGGAAGAATTCTTCCCTGGTTGACCACCACCACTCCCTATCTCTGGCCATACTGGACCATGTGGGTCCATGGTATCAGGTCAAATCATCTCATCATCTTACCTTTGGTTGCCCTATAGTACTTTTCCACTGCCTTGGTGTCTACTTTGTCACTCTAATATTCCACCTGTTGTCTCTGAGATGAGAGATGTGGCCAGTCTATCTATGAGTGTATCATACTTGGCATCACCTTAGATGACAAGAAGAGCAACACCTGGATTTGACAGCGAAGTGAAGGACATAATCAAGGTCATCTAGAAGGGCAAAACTTAGATGGTGTTTGAAATGGGGAATTGTAAATATACTTGAAACATTTTCCCCATATAAAAAAATCAAACAAAAATTATCAAATAGCAGTATGAATCTGCTCCATAGTGAAAGAAAAAAGAGATGGGTCTTTAAATTTGGCATTATATATGGGTAGAGTAATTGGTCATTTCTTTAGCCAATCAGTATCCTTTTTTATTCTGTGTTTGATTATATTTATTTTTCTAATTGATTGTTCTAAATTCCAATAAAATTTTATTTCTGTTGATTTTTTTTATTGCTGAATAAATGTGAAAAGTACAAAGCCTAAAACCTTAATAACTAAATATATATTTTTTTAATTATTTCACCCCAAGCATGGCAGTAAAGCCACTAAAACAAAAGGGATTATTGAATTTGAGAGAATATAAGAAGCAAAAACATAAAGGAGAGAAAACAATAAGGAATTAAGGAGACAGAAGATAACAATTGCATTTAAATTTTTGAAGATCCAAGTTAACTGGCAAGCAAGAAGAGAGTTCCACAAGTAAGAAAAGAAACTATTTGCATAGAACTTACCATTTCAACTATAAAATAATGAGACGTTAGCACCAATCTAGTATTAAATTCATTGGAAGTTTACCTGATATTGATATAATCAAAATATATTGATTTATTTTTATATCAGAATATGGTCTTCATTTTTTGAATGCTCCAAAGCTTATAAAATCCAATCCACTTTTATACACGACTTAAATGTGTTTCTGTCATGGTTGTCAATCTTACAAAAGCTGCTAATCATACATATCTATATTTAATGTTATAGATATCTACCATGAGGGTATCTCTATCATCTATAATATGATTTCAACAGAACAAAGTCAAAAATGGATGAAGAATTTCAATTTTATGAAATATTTATTCCATCAGATAAAAATCTGGTTGCAGTAAACATACACCTTTTGTTAACAAAAGAGTTTGAGTGCAAATATCACTGAACATAGATGATAAGTTTCAGTTGACTGGCTGGAGGGACATATCCCTGTTACTTTCTGTGGCCCAACATGAAAAGAAAAAGAAAAAAAGAGTTTCTTTTTTGAAAAGATGCATTTTTGAAGGTGCCAGTTAGCTACTGCTACTATGTGTATCCACTACTGGCAAATGCCAGTATGGACTGCTGCTTTTGTGGCATGAGTTCACTACTCTTGTATTCACAAAAATCCATTGATTCTGATCGAACCGTTTTTTAATATGACACCATTATCTTTCAGCTTATAGTTTCATACACTGTCAATTATTTTATTTATCTAATTAATTAATTTTCTTACACAGGTGATAGTCTCAATAATAACATTAATTTGGAAAGACTTAATCTATCAGGTAATAAAATTGCATTTCTAAAGGTAAGATTCTTTTTCCTTTTTCATTTGCACACACACACATTCACATACATGCATGCACACACACATACACACACACATGATCCAATTAGCTTTACTTTGCAATTAATTGTATTAAAATTCATGAAGAAATAATAAGCCTATTTTTTTTTTAGTTTTTGAACTTGACCTTTTTTCAATTATCTTTGTCCTAAAAATGACAAGGTTATCTTCCTCAGATTAAACAAACTCTCACAAGAAAATTATTTTTTTGTTTATCATTTCACCCCAAGCAAGACAATAAAGCCACTAAGATGCAAAGGGTTTCTGAGTGTGAAAGAATGTAAGAATTAAGAAGACAGAAGATAATGATTGACATTATGTTCAAGTTTTTGAAAATCAAAGTTGACTAGAAAGCTAAAAACCAAAAGAGTGTTCCACAAGTGAGAAGTGCGATGGAAGAAACTCTTAGCATATAACTTACAGTTATATCTAGCCATTTCAACTGTACAATGATTGCTGCCAATCTAGTACTGTGCTTAAATTCATAGATACTAGGTGCCATAGATGAAAATATAAAAAAGGCACAGATCCTTTGTTTTATTTCAGTGAGAGGGAATTATTTATAATTGAAATGTTTTACAAATACAAATGATTATAGAGTCTGGTAATTTCTTAAAAAGATAAGTTGTTTACAGTTTTCAGAATCTGCCATGTTTTGCATCGTTCTTCAAAATCCTTCTGAAATGAAGACATCAAGATTAAGGATTTTTCCTAGATATTTACAAATCTTAGCTTAGAGCAGCACAGTAAGAAAAAAGGAGGAAATAGGAAGATTGTTTTATCATTTTTTTTTAATACCAGCAATTAATTTTTTGAGGAAAAATTATTACCAGCAATACATTTTTCAAGAAAATAAATATTACCATCAATACATTTTTGTAAATAATTATTACCAGCAATGCATTTTTAAAGAAAAAGATTATGACCAGCAATACATTTTTGAAAAAATATTACCAGTATTAAATAACCTGTTGAGTTTGATATGCCGTAAAACAAACCAAACCAAACCAATGCAGCTCTTAATAAGTTTTTTCTCTGTTATTTCTCCCAAACCCTGTTCTATCATCCATTTACTCAGGCTCACCAAGTATGTTACATGTTGCTTTCCTGTATCCCTTTTTCCCCTCAATCTGTCCTGTGAGTATCAGATTTTCCAAGCCCTCCTTCCTCATTACAGCAAGGGCATCTATGAGCATTAACTGTTCATGTGTTTTAGTTGAATGGTACAATTGCAGCAGGATATTTCCAGTACCATCTTTTATAAATATAAATAGAATATACTAAATGGAAAACTGTTTTGTTGAAACTAGATTACTTGTTTTGTCCTTGCTAGACTTCATCAGCTCAAAAACAAAAGAGAGAAATAAATGTGCATATTTGAGTGTATGCTTAAATAATCATTAAAAATAATTTTGTTCTTTCTTCACCTTGGGGAATGCCAACTTAGCAGACAAAATATTAACAATTTATTATTTAGCATACACACAAATATAGACATATTTTCCAACTTATAGGAACTATTTCTTCCTGGTCTAGTAGTTCATTCAATAATACCACATCTTTCCAGTGAACACTGCTGGGTTCAACATTTCCTTGAATATGGACATTTAGCCAATCTCCATCTTTTCCTTGGTGTTTTGGCTGATATGACAATACCTTGATAGACATCGTTGTGTCATCACTCAGTTTCAGCTGTACATGAAACTTTGATTTTCATCTTGGTACTTTATCACTCTATGATATATAAAAGATAATATATAAAAGATAACAACAACGATCATAGAAATAAGAATAGAAACTGGAAAATCATTTGGTATGCACCCCCATTTAACCAAATGGTTAGTACTAAGTTAGGGTAGATATTATGTTCAGCACTCTTTTCTTTGTTTCTAAAGAAATTTTCCTGCTTCTTAGTACTTTGCTTGCCTTTTGGAAGGCATCTTTCACTGATATTATGTAACAGTTCAGCACTCTTTTCTTTGTTTCTAATGACATTTTCCTGCTTCGTAGTTCTTTACTTACCTTTAGGAAAGCATCTTTCATTGATATTATGTAACAGTCCAGCACTTTATTCTTCGTTTCTAATGAATTATTCCTCTTTCCTAGTACTGTATTTTTGATGCACTTTTTTTCCTAAAAAATACCCTGAAAATTATGTGTGCGTCTTCCAAGATGAATGTAAGGTGACACCAACACTCAAGTAAGCTTGGACAATCACCTAATTGGCTTGACTGATACGGACCTGGATTTGTATCTTGAGTCATTAAACTATAATGTTAGCTATCTACCTAATACAGCCTTTTATATGATGTAACCTCAATACATAGCTGTTAAAAGTATTTCCAAAACTATAAACCTTCCTGGAGCCGAGCCACAAGCTTAAACATGATGTGTTTACTAACAGTGGCAAAAGCCTTTTTGCTCTTGACTAGTATGCCATTGCCATACAAACAAAATTGGACAAGTGATTAATGTAAACAATACATAGTGCTATTATACGAGGGAGGCATGGTGAATGTGTTGTTGTATGAGAATGACTTGTTTTCTTAGGAATTTCTTTCCAATATTAGGATGCATCTTCCAAGCCGGAAAACACGGTATATCTTTCTTTCATTTTTTAAAATCTGATGAAGAGCAAAACACATAATCTAATTGTGTCTTTCATTTGTCATATTCTTCAAATTTTGTCTGGATACTGTATCCTATTTTATGTAAATATAAATAGACAAACATTTCAATTTTTATTATATCATAAGCTCTGTCTAACAACTTTTGTATATGACACCTTTTTTTCTTTTTTTAGGACATGAACGACTTATGCAATTTACCAAATTTGAACCATTTAAGCTTCAAGGATCCCTATTATGCACCCTGCCCAGTATCATTGCTGTGTAATTATTCTTCCTATGCCCTTTTTTATCTACCTCAACTGATATCTTTAGATACATATAATGTGAATTCCAAGGAGATTTCAGAGATCGTAGAAGTAAGTTTTTCCTTCCAACTGTCATTGTCTTTAATAGGATTACCTACAAATTATCCATGTTTGAGAAACAACTGCATTTCACTTTAAAGGATGGATTACCTGTTCCTTTTGAATTTTTTTTAACAGAACTAGTGAAAAAAAATAAAAATTGAAAATTAATTTATTATAATTTTCAAGGCTTCTAATAATGATATAAAAATTCTTAAGTTAAGCTACATCGAGCCTGATCAGTACTTAGACAGGAGACCACTTCGAAACACCAGGTGCTGTAAGCTTAAATCAGTAGGTGGAACTCATTAGCATGGGAGAGCAGTCCATCTAAGAGAACGGAAACTCTTTGCAGTGAAAAATATGTGGTAGATGGTACTCCTTAGCCTGGGATGGCAGTCTGTCTAAAGAAGTAAAATCTATGATATAAAAACTATTTCATGAGGCTGTAAATTCCAGGTTAGTCTCCAACCATTATACCACCCACACATCCTATCGAAAAGGAAAGCCTTATTTCAACAAGCTTGTGTATAAGTCATTTCAACCCTTGTGTTGGTGTATAGTACCTTCTTCTAAGTTGCTCTAAGCTAATAGGCTGATAAAGTTAATATGGAAATATTATATGAAAGATTTCCAAACCAGAGAGACCCTCCTTCAAACTTTTGTGATCAGAACTGATCAGATGTCCTTGACTTGAATGACAGAAGTGATTAGAAGATCACTCCAGCAACCTTAGACTGGTATGCTCAATGCAATTAAAGGAAAATACGCACATCTACTCAAAACCAAGATTTTTGAAGAGAACTATCTCATGTTAGTTTACAGTCAACCTTGGACTGAGTCAGTGAAATATGATGAATGAAAATAAAGACTCCATTGTTCATTGTGGAAATATTTTAGCTTGGTCAATTGGATTCATTTTCTACAGCTCCAGCAATTGTACTTTTACAAGTTATTTTTTTTCCTTTAGTTCCTGTATTTTTTACTTTAAAGCTTTTCACATGAAAGCTATCAAGATTAACTACTAAGAAAGTTAGTCATTGTTCCAGGGTTGTAAAATGGGGGGGGGGAAAGCACACAAAACAGATGCCAAGACATGTACCAGATAATGTTAAATTAATAATAGCAATTTAAATTAATAATAACAGTAGCTAAATAAGAGAGGCAATAAAAAATGTACATTACCATAAAGTGGTAATATCAAAATACAAAACAGAATAGAAAAAACAACCATCAATATGTCTGATCCTATAACTAAGACATATTCACAGTAATGAGGAAGGTTCACTTAAAATTTCACCTGAAGATTTCAGAGTCTGCTTATGTTAAGTCTTACCAGCCATCCTTCTGTAATAATATCCAGTGTTTGGTGCTTATTTTAGTTGCTCTGAAAATTTCTCATCTTTGATAAAGCTCTGATGAGAGAGGAGTGACAAATCAATTAAGTTGTTTTTTTGTTGTGTTTTATATTATGATATTATCACCTTATGGTAATGGAAATTTTTATGTTACTCTATTTTTTTATGTATTTTCATATATAGGAAATTCAGTCATCCAGGTTTTTTTATAATAAAATTCTGAACATCCACATTGCAAATAATAATAAAATAAAAATAAAGAAAACATGTGCATGCCTGTTAAGTAAACATTTTGTATTTACAAATACCTGAATTCAAAAGAGTCGAAAAGGATTAAAAATAGTCTTCAGCTGAATTAAAGACTTTGAGTAGTTGATATACAGGAAACCTATAATTTAAAAGAGACAAATAATTAGCCCACAGGAAAAAAAAAAGCTGTGGCTGCAAAAACACTGTTATCATGAATGAATATTCATTACTGTTGTTGTTGGAGATGATTCATTTGAAGTTGCTGACACATGTTTCTTTCAGCATGTGCTGTGGAGGAAGATAAAAGCTATGTAGTCACATCTTCAACTGTGTTCGGCTTGGAGACAACTGAATTTCTCTTTTAAAGTCAAAATCTGTGGTTTTATATAAGAAATATTTCCCGAAAGTACTCTCAAGAAAAATAGGGTTTTAATTTTCTCTGATTGGTCAAATATTTCAAATGGTGATGTTAATTTCTAACCACTAGACACCTTGATTTAAACAGCGTGTTGCACTGTGGAATGTTTTTGGCATGTTTGTAATATTGTCTGTTGTTGGGTAGAAAATAAAGTTTGGGTGTATTTTAATATGTTAAAAAGAATATTGCAACCTATAATACTAATTATAGCTGTAGTAGTAATGGGGAAAATTCTTTTTAGAAATAAAAATGAATTTTTCTTCTTTCAATATGGCACAAAGATATTTTTGTCCAGTAGCCAATGAATATCAAAATCCCTATCAAAGGCTTGTAAGATTATCACAGTAGTCTTAACCAATCGATAAGAAAGAGTGTGTCACTTCCCAAAATATGACCAAATGACCAAACATCAGAATTTTTAAAATCGCTTTTTAGTTAGGTTCAGAGCTTTTCAGTACCATTTCATATATTGATGTAGAACAAGGATTCCTTGAAAGAATAGATCCGTAAGTAAACTGCAAAAATTATCCCTATTGTCACCAGAATCGCAATTACTTTTATTATATCTATCACCATTTTTGATTTTCTGACAGAGTCTTGTCGAGAAAAAAAAATTTTTTTACAATGACCAAGTAAAGAGTTTGGATTATAAGAAGAGTTGCTGGTATGATGTTGCCAACCAACTCAAAGAATACATGTTGGTCAAATATCATAACAAGATGAAGCAGTTGGCAGAGGCCATCAGAAAGGTAAGTACTCTTTTTTTTTTTTCTATTCTTTGGTTCTTTAGGCATTATTAAATTCAAAGAACACAATTTTCTTCTTTTGATATTGTTCATCATTTTCTACTGCTGACTTATCTTCTTCAGCTATACTAATCTATCCAACACCTATACTTCTTCTTCTTATTATTATATTATTACTATTATTATTCAAAGAGTATTTTGTTGGAATTTTTTAGATAAGAAATGATTGTTTATATTTGCTTTCCTATTTGGACTCTCCATTATTTGTCTTTTGAATGATAGTAGTGTTTTACAATTTTCTTCTCCACAGTGACTTTATTGAGACACCACGTTTAGTTCACTGGCCATTGACTCATTTGAGTTCATCTGCCCTTTTTTATGTTTCTTAGGTTATTTTTTTGCTCTACAGAGTTTCTCACTACTTTTGTTGAACCCTACCAGGTCGGGGAGAGGAGGAACCAGTTTAGTAGATAGCTACATGACAAATTAAAAAAAAAACAACTAAGTATCAAAGTATTGGGAAACAGAAAGATGCCATTAGAAACAAAGAAAAGAGTGGTGAACTGTTATGTAATATTTAATCTCCTATATGGCAGTGAATGATGGACAATCTCCTCATGCCTTTCATAAACTAAGCAATGTATTAAGAGATAGGAAAATGTCTTTAGAAACAGAGGAAAGAGCGCTGAACTGCTATGTAATATCTAATCTCCTATATGGCAGTGAATGATGGACAAACTCCTCATGCCTTTCATAAACTAAGCAATGTATTAAGAGATAGGAAAATGTCTTTAGAAACAAAGGAAAGAAACGCTGAAACTGCTATGTAATATCTAATCTCCTATATGGCAGTGAATGATGGACAAACTCCTCATGCCTTTCATAAACTAAGCAATGTATTAAGAGATAGGAAAATGTCTTTAGAAACAGAGGAAAGAGCGCTGAACTGCTATGTAATATCTAATCTCCTATATGGCAGTGAATGATGGACAATCTCCTCATGCCTTTCATAAACTAAGCAATGTATTAAGAGATAGGAAAATGTCTTTAGAAACAAAGGAAAGAGCGCTGAACTGCTATGTAATATCTAATCTCCTATATGGCAGTGAATGATGGACAATCTCCTCATGCCTTTCATAAACTAAGCAATGTATTAAGAGATAGGAAAATGTCTTTAGAAACAAAGGAAAGAGCGCTGAACTGCTATGTAATATCTAATCTCCTATATGGCAGTGAATGATGGACAAACTCCTCATGCCTTTCATAAACTAAGCAATGTATTAAAAGATAGGAAAATGTCTTTAGAAACAGAGGAAAGAGCGCTGAACTGCTATGTAATATCTAATCTCCTATATGGCAGTGAATGATGGACAATCTCCTCATGCCTTTCATAAACTAAGCAATGTATTAAGAGATAGGAAAATGTCTTTAGAAACAAAGGAAAGAGCGCTGAACTGCTATGTAATATCTAATCTCCTATATGGCAGTGAATGATGGACAAACTCCTCATGCCTTTCATAAACTAAGCAATGTATTAAGAGATAGGAAAATGTCTTTAGAAACAGAGGAAAGAGTGCTGAACTGCTATGTAATATCTAATCTCCTATATGGCAGTGAATGATGGACAAACTCCTCCATGCCTTTCATAAACTAAGCAATGTATTAAGAGATAGGAAAATGTCTTTAGAAACAGAGGAAAGAGCGCTGAACTGCTATGTAATATCTAATCTCCTATATGGCAGTGAATGATGGACAAACTCCTCATGCCTTTCATAAACTAAGCAATGTATTAAGAGATAGGAAAATGTCTTTAGAAACAGAGGAAAGAGCGCTGAACTGCTATGTAATATCTAATCTCCTATATGGCAGTGAATGATGGACAATCTCCTCATGCCTTTCATAAACTAAGCAATGTATTAAGAGATAGGAAAATGTCTTTAGAAACAAAGAAAAGAGTGCCAAACTTTTATGAAATATTTAATCTCCTATTTGACAACTACCAAGATGAGTATGCTGATCTGAAATGGCTACTATGCATATCTCTATTAAAGTTTTTTGCTTTTAAATTTTAATAAAATACATTGCGTAAATTAATTTTTCAAGTTTCTATGCATTGTCTGCTTAGCTAATGTGGCCAAAATGGTTGTACAGTGTTTAAGGTTTCATGAAATAAAAAGAAAAAGTATTTTCTTCCTCAAATTTTTTTAGATTTCAGGGTCTGCAGAATCCAGATGTATCGTTCAAATTTGTCACACCAATGATGTACCATAGAGTTAAAAAGCAAAACCTAATATGGCCTCTGTCTTAAAGTACTCTCCCTCTGAGAGCCATTTTCTGTCAGAATGGAAACAATCATGGCTCACCACAGCCTGTAAACTTAAACTTGCCATGATTGTCCTTGAAAAAGTGAAGTGTTTCCAATTGCATTCTCCATGGTTTTAGAATTCAGATTTGACTTTCTTCTTGACTGGTTGCCAACCAAGGCTAGATATCTTACTCTATAACTGTCAGAGGAAGAAATAGATTTATATGTTTTTCAAGAGCATGAATGCAAAGTGAACATTGAATTGAATTTAAACCTGGCTCACATTTTTGTCCTTTTTTTGGTACCATTAACTGTATATCAATTGTTAAATATCAAGATTGATGCATCTATAATCCACTGTTATTAATGTTAGAGTTGTAAGCCTTGATTTGTAAGTTGACTACACAAAATACTAGAATTAAGATTTTTTATCTCATTATAGTTTCTTAACTTGTTGAATTGGAGGCATGGTGGAGTGATGGATAGCGGCTCGGATTGAGGAATCGGAGAGCCGAGTTCATATTCCAGTTGAATCCATTACATTCACACACATGCTTGGGAAAGGTATGAATCCTCTTCTTCTCCCTGCCTCCAGCTATGGGTAAATAGCAGGACAGACCAAGTTCTATAGCCTTGGATGGCAACTGGTCTACCACAGAAAGAAAAGGAAACCTATTGTGGGGAAAAAATCTGCTTTGTCAGTCATGTATTAGGTTGGTGCAAAAATAATGTCGTTTTTTGATGTTCAACTTCAAAAGATCATAACTCCTTTCATAATAAACTTTATTAATCGAAATAAGAAACATTAGAATCGACACATTTTTGCCAACAAGAAACAAGTTTATTTATCCCATTAGCATAGAAATCCAGAGTTCTGGAAGCGATGAAGTCATTGAAGGCTGATTCGGGATCATCTCGGCTTTTGAAGCATTTTTCGCGCAGGAAGTTGTCGAGATGCTTGAAAAAGTGATAATCGGTGGGCGAGAGGTCTGGTGAATATGGCGGATGAGGCAGAGTCTCGTAGCCCAATTCGTTCAGCTTCTGCAGGGTCAGTTGAGCAACATGCAGGCGAGCGTTGTCATGGAGGAGAATTGGTCCCTTCATATTGACCAATCTCAGGCACATACGTTGGAGCTTCTGGTGCATTTCGTCAATTTGTCGGTAGTACTTCTCCGCCCGTGTCGTTTTGCCCGGATTCAAGAAGCTGTGATGGATGAGACCAGCCGCAGACCACCAAACAGTCACCATAACCTTTTTTTGGTGCAATTTCGGCTTCGGGAAGTGTTGTGGAGCTTCTCCGGCATCCAACCACTGTGCCGAACGTCGCCAGTTGTCGTAGAGGATCCACTTCTCATCACACGTCACAATCCGCTCGAGAAATGGGTCGTTTTTGTTGCACAGAAAGAGCGTAGAAGACACCTCAAAACGACGATTTTTTGATTATCGTTCAATTCATGCAGCACCAATTTATCCAACTTTTTTGACTTCCCTATTTGCTTTAAATGGCGAACGACTGTTGAGTGGTCGACCTCGAGTTCAACAGCAACTTCTCATGTGGTTTTGCGAGGATCGGCTTCAATTAAGGCTTTCAAATGTTTGTTATCAACCGCAGTCGGCTGGCCACGACCGTCTTCATCTTCGAGGCTCTCATCACCATTGCGAAATTTCTTGAACCACCGTTGTGCCACACGTTTGTTAGCGGTTCCTGGGCCAAACGCATCATTGATATCACAAGCTGTCTCGGCAGCTTTTCAGCCTAGTTTGAACTGGAACAAGAAAATCGTGCGGATTTGAATTTTATCCATGCTGTCGAAAAGCCTGTAAAAAAATGAATGAAGAGATTGAGAACGGTAACGAATAACATGATTCGATAGAGCAAAAAATGCGCTTCAAAATGATATATAACATGGCTATATATATCAATGAATTAATTCAGAAATCATATATAAAAGTAACATATGTGAGAAAACGACATTATTTTTGCACCAACCTAATATCTTTCGATATATGACTGCCTAAGTGTGTATCACGTATGGCACATAACTGACAGACTGAAGAACTTGTAGAATTAAGATCAGGAGCCAATTTATAAGAATAAAAGCAACAATTCTACTTGATCTTAACAGTCAGTCATCTTTGTGCTAAACACATTTCTGTCACTATCCTCAAATTTATTTTCTAGCTTTAACATTTCAATTATCTGGACAAGAAATAAACATTGATGGTATAAGACAGATTTGTTGAACAAGCAATCGAAAACATGCTGTGATTTGTTTTTTTCATTTTTTGTTTTTTGGGGTTTTTTTTTTGGGGGGGTTTTAAGAAGATAACTTGTTGGTGTTGACCAAGTTTGCCAAGGTTGGGGTATCATCACAAACGGGGTGAAGTTTGGGAGAGATTCACTCAGACATCCCAAAGATAACAGTAATCACTTTTTGATAAAAGAAGCTCCATTTATTTGTTCAACAGCACTTCTGACATCAGTGCATGTGACACTGAGACTCAACACAGTAACTGATGGATGCTTTGAACAGCCTGGGGATCACAGATTTTTTTGATTTTTTTTTTTTTTTTTTTGAGAAGTCTACTTTTATATTCTTTTCTATTTCTCACACTGCCTAAACAATAGCATATTTCATCTTTATTCTTATTTTATGAAATGTATATTTGGGGTGTGTGCATATCATAGTAGTTTTTGGTGCAGTAAGATAGATTGTGTTGCAAGTTCAAATTCTAGCCAAATTTGTTGCATTCACTTTCATGCAAATACCCTTGGGAAAGGTATGAATCCATCTCTTCCCAACCCAGCTATGGGTTAAATAGCAGGACAGAGTAGTCTCTTTGGCCTTGGTTGGTAACCAGCCTAGAAAAATGATAACTCTGAATTCAGAATCAAAAGGCCTGATCCAACCAGCTGGAAAGGTGAAGACATTTAACAGCTAAAATGGCATAAAATTCTGTGGCCAGCACTGCCAATCTGCATCTCATAGTCTGTTCAATCAAGATGATCAAGTTAATGTCTATGCTTGGTCTACTGATCAAGTTATCTAAGCAGATTCTTCCAACTTTCTTAGGATTGCTCTCTGTCTGCTATGTAGTTTGAAGCAGCTATATTTAATTCCTGTTTGATCACCAAAGTTAAGTACTGTCAAGCCTGGTCAGTACATAGATGGGGGACTATTTAGGAACACTGGGTACTGTAAGCAACCTCTTACAATCCAAAATATATTTTGGCTTTAAATAACCCATGAAGGGTTGATAAGCTATAAAAAAAAACAAATCAATCAGTCAGTCAACCAACTACATACACTGATTAAAATATCTTGCTTGACATCATTCCAGCAAGAAAAATGAATCAAAATTGTTTTTTGTTCTAATTTTATTTGTTAACTGTTAACTATTGTTTATTGTAAATGGTATAACCAGTTACTCCCCCCTCTCTCTAACTTAATGGACTGTTCCTATCAGCAGTGGCAGCAGGAGGAGCATAGACTTGTGTCCTCCTTCTGCACAGGGTGGATTGGGCCATTAGATACTATTTAAACTGCTGTGATTTCTCTCTTGACACTTTGATTTTGACTAGAGGAACTATGGATATTTTAAATCAGACCTGTGCTCTTATCATTAAATATGATCCATGATTTTCATTCTGATTTTGTTCTTTAATGTTCTTTCATGTTTTCAGGTTCAAAGCTCCTCTTTCACTGAAATGGCCAGTCAATCAAGCAATTTCCCAAATCTGGAAAAAACAGAAACTGAAACAAATCCAGAAACAGAAGTAAGATTTTATCTTCACAACTAAACAAAAACAAGTTAATGCTTCAGAGTCAAAAATGCGAATGATGAATACATGTTCATTATGCAAGTCGACTCGGTGCAGAACTTCCGTTTCTTTCAAGTTAAAAAAAAAAATTAGATTGCATATTTCAACCAATCATAGAACTACCTGCCTAAAAGATTGGATAACCACTTGATCCAGCACTTGTTTCAATAAAGTGTGTATAAAAGAAAGGGTCCCTTTCTCAACCATGCTACTGGAAACCACATTAGCCATTTCATTGATTCATTTTCAAGTACCCAACATGTAGGATTTGAGTTTTCTCAACTGATTAAAACATTCTTTTCTGTTATGCACACAATTACAGAAATATTATACACTGCTTTTCTCTCACCTAAGCGTTCAATACAAAAAAAAAAACAGAACACACATAAATTAACCTGATATTTCTTACTAACACTCGTACAGACATTTTTGAACACAAGTATCTTTACTCACTCATCAAATATCAAAATTGTTGTTATATAAAATCACTCTTATTGAATCCTATTTCCATTCTCTTTGTTCATTAAAATCTATTTGTTATGAGGCTGTAGTTCTGCAACAAGGGTAACACTGAGCACAGGATATTCTGAGGTATTCGTATTTATAAAATACCATGCCAAATTGAATGCTTTGACCAAATTCAGTCGCTGCTAGAAATGTTGACAGAAATTTTTGTACAAGGAAATATCAGCAATAATTCATAAGTGTCTGAGTAGTATAGAGCTAAAAGCAGAGACAGAAGCATTTATAATGGCTGCACAGAAATTACCAGGCAAACATAATTAAAAAAAATGGTATAGACCCAATGTGTGGATTATGTGAGGACTATTGACCACTTGATGTCTGGTTGTTCGATCTTAACAACAAAAGAAAACAAAAATCAAAATGATAAATTTGAGCAGTGCATTCATTGGAAGATATATCAATACTATAGAATGTTGCAGGCTGAAAAATTGTATGAAAATCACCCTGAACTAGTCACAGAAGAACAGGAAGTCACTATCCTTTATCATTCATACTGACAGGCATATAAAAGCTAACAGATCAGACATTTTGTTTAAGGACTACAAATCATAAATGCCTTCTCATAGATGTAGAAACATCAGATAACAATATACCTAATAAATATGACAAATATATAAGAGTTTTGAAGTTGAAAAAGATGCACCTGAAAACTACTGTTATACCAATAATAATTGGAGTACTGGGCATGATCAAAAAAAGGTACAGAGAAGGACATTAACAAAATCCCTGTATCCCCCCCCCGACACACACTGCTCAAATACACATTAACAAGACCACTGGCAGATTAATAAATAAAGCACTTTGTGGGACTACTACTCTACTCAGAAGATTATTATCAATGTAGAGAAAATATAAACACTCTACATATTAAATAGCACTTCACATCATAATGTTATTGTTGTGTCGTGTATCCTGCCAAGTAAGCATTCTACCTCTGTTCTAGTTGGTGTCCATTTATCATATGAGCTACCTGCTCATATGCAAATTATACTAATTTGCATCTCACTACAGTTATATAATATTATTGTCTTCTTAACTGTTTTATATGCATTCAAAACTTGGAAAACTATCACAAAAGTTATTCAAGTTTTAAATGTCCCATTTAAGCTGCCTTCACAAAATACTAAAGTTGTCTTGGAGATAGATTCATTTTGATAGTTAGAAATTTATATATCATATTCTTATATATATATATGGATTTATTTTTAATCCAATATTTAATTACTTCAAACGTTATTTTGAGTGAATTCCCATATTTGAAATAGACACTCTGTTTTTATTTTAAACAGTGTATTACATCAATTGGCCTCTGGTCTGTGTGCTGAAGAATAATTAATAAAGTAAATGTGCTCTATGTCACCTTTCCTTTATTTAGTTTTCTTGAATGATTGCACAGGCTGATAAATGTAATACACAAGACATTGATTTCAAATAAAGGTATCCACTAAAATAATGTTTGAAGAAATATATATATATATATATATATATATATATATATATAAAGGAAATATGTTGTAGTGGTTCCAACGAGAGAAAAGTATGTATATTAAAAAGAAGAGGGTGCCATAAACGTTTTTGGTTGTAATGTGGATTTATTGAGAAAAATATTATACTTTGTTTTACATAATTTCACGACACGTGTTTCTGGTCTGGTCTCACTTAACCGTCTTCAGGTGAAAGTGGAGATTTTTACATATTATTAAAAAATAATTAATTTTTCTTCATGTTCAATGTGGAATATTCTCGATATGAGACATTCTGTTTGTGTGTTGGCAATCCGAATTTTCTTTCTATATATATATATAGATGAGCTTTTTTTCTTTTCTTTTTTTTGAATTTGTAGGTCTGATGAATTAATTTGTTATGAATCCAATGAAATAAATTATAACCGACAAATATTAGTGTATGAGCCTTTTATAATATATAGTACAGGTAATAAATCAGTTGGTATATAATCCAAGTAGATCCTAGTAAATATTAAAACTGATCCACAAAATGAGCTCAATGTATTTATTATAACAGAGCATATGAATTACACAACAAAATCAAAAATTACTTCTTATGTTGGGGTGGGGGGTATAGATCTATTTCAACCAACGAGAAGTATGTTACCCTTATTCAACCCCAGTGTATAGACTGTGTTCATGTCAGAATTCGAAATTTAAATTTTAACTCTGACAGCAGTTGAAAAATTGATACAGAATTTATCCATTTTGATGTTTTAATCAGATGAAATGCCTGAGTTGATAAAAAAGGGAGGGTTGAAGGTATTTGCCTTCTAGGGAAGAGGTTTTGTAAAATTAACTTAATAAATTGATTTTATAAATTCACCTTAATTAATAATTAATAAATTGACATAAAAGAGACAATTGGAAATTGTACTTAGTCCTTGCTGATGTATTTTGCTATTTCAGTTAAACAATGATAACAAAAGCAAAATGTTGTATAGTTACATGAAATTCAAGAATTTTAAAAAGACGCTCATGTTTAAAACTCTTTTTAGATATTAATAACTTTTCTTTTTTTCTTTTTCACTAAGAGTGTGTTTTTGTTTTCCATGTTTACAATGTATTAAAATTTTCAGAATAAATCAAACACACTGTCAACAGCAAAAACACACCCTTAGTCAATAAAAAAAAAAGAAAAGTTACTAATATCCAAAACACAGCTTACACAGAGTGGCCAACTGTCGCCTGTCAAAGGAAGTAGAGAGATAACTGGCATTCATGCTAGAAGGAGCATTCACCTTAGGGTAAACAGCAGGCCTCCTCCTCACATGATTGCACACTTCTCAGAGATGGAAAGTTCTTACTGGCATCTTCCTTCCTGAATTCACCATTCCCATCCACTTACAAACTTAAATTTGGTTTAGAAAAAGTGATGCATAATGTATGTTGATGAATCTCAATGCTAGGAATACCCAAATCACCTTCAGAAGATAACAGATCTCCTAACATACCTTAGGAGCCTTGCGTCCCCACAAGAAGAAGAAGAACAAGGCTAATTGTTTTAGTATGGCATGTGAGAGTGGAAGTACAAAGAGTCGATAAAGGAGAATTGGGTAGATGTGCAAAACACATCCTTCTGCCTTCCCCTTTAAGTAAGGATTCCTCTGAGACTGCAGACAAACTGCGACCTTGGCCTTCTTCCATACCCCTAACCAATCCGAACCAGATGTAGAGTGACACATGTGATATGTGTCACATGTTCTCCACTACCTTAACCAGGTATTGAACTCACACTCTTTGGGTCCTGTCACTGAATCTAACCATGGACACATGGCACAGTGGATAAAGGCGTTTGTTTGTAGTCATGTGACTCATGTGATATGCCTATTGGATGCATTTCTAACTTACTCTGCAGACGGTTCAGCAGCCGCATTCGTTGCCTCAGATGACATTCTTTTTAACTTAGCCCTAACTACAAGAATTTTGATACTTCTTGAAAGCAAGGAGGCCAGTGCCGCCCTAGCTAAGGCAACTTCCCCACTATCACAGGATTTAATTGCCTGATCAACTTTAGCTTCACATGTCGTTTGTGCTGCTAACCTAATTAGATTGAGTTGATAACTATAATCAGCAGCAAATTACCCAACTGTAGATTTCAATACACCCTACCACTTATTCCCAAACACTGCCTTCGACAATTCCTCTTGTAGCATTAGTAGCAGCTGGTTCTGGAAATCTCGCTCATCAAATAATGATGTGTTCAATTTCCAGTAGCCAGCCATCCTAACCTTAGGCTTATGTAAGTTTACATGAACCCAGACGAGCATATAATCTGAGTAAACTATATAAATGAAAACTTGAACAACCTAAGAGCTCTATATCAATTTGCTTAAACCCTAGAACATTAACCATTAATTAAAGTTACACCACTACTAACCATGGATATATCATACCCGATTTTGAAAATATCAAAAAAAATATTAAATAGAAATCTTTATTTAAAATATTTGCAGGCACTTTAAACTTTGTACTTTGAGTTAACATTAATAGGAACTGAAAAACATTATTAAGGTAAGAAAATCAGGTACTGAAAATTGTAATAGCTAGAACACACCACCAATGCCAAGCTGCCTCCATTAGTCCAAGTTCACACTACCTCTCAGGGTTTCTCATTACAATACTTATTGACAAGATCAAACTTGTTGATAAAGTCACAAAATGTTTTCACATCTGGGTTGCTTATACCTGATATCTCCCCTATGCAATCTATATCAGGGTCAAGGACGACATTCCAATTGCCCTTTAAAACTACCCAGTGAGTCATTGTCAGAAATGGGTCAGTCCGCCAAAGCAAATCAGGCCACTCCTCATGGACATTGGGCTCATAAACGCCAATGAGACAAAGAGATTTATCCTTATCAAAAGCCTGCCTGCTGGATCTGCAAAGACAACAAAATTGCAACAAATACCATCAATGTTGAATTAAATGCAATCAAAAATAACTTAAAACATTTTGCAAGTCCTAGAAAAATAGAAAGAACATGAATACAAAATGCAAACACAAAACCGTAAATGCAAGATTTAATTTGTTTGACGGAGTAACAAACAGGAATTGACCAGGCAAGTGAAAGTGTTTCTCCACTAGAGAAAACCAACTAGCTTAAATTGAGCTACTTGGGCTGAATCCATCAGGGGAGACAGTTTTATTCAACAAAGTATTAGTTTTTATAACTAAGAGGATGTAAATTCAATCTTTATGTTGAGTAACAAATATTGTCCATAGAATAAAACTTAACAGGTACTACATGTGACTATGTGACGAGAAGAAAAAATGGTAGCATGAATGAATGACAAACACATGACCAAATAATCAACTTGCAATCTGCACATTTACTTCATCATACAAAACTGGGGAGGAATTGAGGAAACCTTTGGTTGTAAAGGGAGACTCTGAAAATCAATCATTTATCTATTTGATCAAACAGGCTGTATTTTTATTTATTTTGTATTTTCAAAAGAAGAATTTCAAATCTGAAAGCATTTTTTTCCTTTCAGCTGGAATTGCTCAAATCCAAGCATGCAACTCTGACTGAAAATCTAAAGACTCTTCACGCAGCGTACTCAAAGTGTGAATTGCAATGTACCAGGTATGCAGAGGTTAGCCTTCATTTGCAGATCTATAAATTGTTCAGAAGAGTTCACTATTTACATTAATCAGACTATTGTCCTCATCTTTGTCACCATATTTATTACAACGTTTTGGCCGTTGTACGTTCCTGCCTTCTTCAGGTGGTTGGAATGTCTAACTGAGCCCTTTATTTCGCTCACTGGTGTAGACTGTTCTAGTTCCACATGCCATGTCTAATGGATGTCAGTTATCCGTTATCTCCTGTTAATTCCCCTCTCCAAGTTCACCACCACCTTAACCAGGTATTGAACTCACACACTTTGGGTCCTGTCACAGGATCTAACCAAGGACATATGGCACAGTGGATAAAGGCATTGGTTAGATCCAGTGACAGGATCCAAAGATTCAGGGCCCTGATAACATGACCAAATTATTGCAATTTTTTCTTCTTTATTGTTGTGACCAACTGCCTATCTGTTACCATCTCCTCCAGGACTGACCTTTTTGTTTTGTGGTTCATCCAGTGCTCACCTGTAGCATGTTGTCTCAAAAGACATCAGCTTGTTAACATCAATAACAATCAGTTTCCAGGTTTCACAGCCTTACACTGCCATTGGCTGCACTAAGGTTTTCAGGAGCTTCAACTTGAAATGTTAAAAAATGACAATGACTAAATCTAAAATATTTTGTAAAAGGTCAATATTCATGAAAACAGTCAAATAATTATAAAATTGTTTTTGATAACAAGAAGCTGAATACATTACAAAAAATATTTTTTCTTTTTTTTTTCCAGGATTGAAAAAAGAATTCGTCTAGCCATTAATTATGTTGAGAAGAGATACAAACGTCTTGTGAATTATCTTCAGTTGGAACTGGGCACCTGTGGAAATATTAGAATTTCTCAGTGCTCAAAGAATGATCTCTGGTAATGAAACTGGCTAATGCAAAATCAGCAAACTTTGACCTTCATGCCTGAAACAAAATTTGAGTATCAAAAGCACAGTTTTCCTCTTGACACTGCTATTATTTTAACTACCTTCAATCCTTGACAATGTTTATTGTTTTAAAATGCAATGATTAGAATTGCAATTCAACTTAAACATATTATGAAAGTGAATTTATACATTTTTTTTTTGTTCTTGAGAATTTACACCAAAAATATTAAAAACTATTTATTAGATTGTTTATTTACAAGAATAATTTTATATTTACAACATTCTAAAAACCAATACAATTAAAACTAATGCAATGCAATATTTATCATTTACCAATTTATAAAGAAATGAATATGAAAACAATTTTTTATTTATAAATTTATAAACATTTACTAAATTATTAAAATATGTGAACCAGCTATGAGGAAATCCTTATTTACCATTTTATAAAGTTTAAAAACCAATTGGCAATTAGCCAATGTTTTGCCAACCATTCCTATAAATAATATAATAAATAAATAGCGTAAATAAACTATCTAATAAATAAATAGTGTTTATTATTTTTGTTGTCATTTCTCAAGAACAAAGGAAATGTATAAATTCACTTTCATATGTTAAGATTTTATTACAATTCTAATTATCACTTTATAAAACAATAAATATTGCCGAGAATTGAAAGCAATTACAATAATAGTGGTGTCAAGGAGAAAACTGTCCTTTTGATACACTGTTTTATTGCATGCACAAAGGTCCAAATTTGCTGTAAAATCAATAATCAACTTAATAGAAATTAAGGTTCTTTTATTCTTTAAATAATTCTGTCTTGCGAAAGAGCATTTTATTGATCCATCCTTGAGAATTATAAGAGTTGAGTGATTCTCCAATCTAATTCAATTGACAATATTTTTAAATGAAAACTATAAAGTTTATGAACAATTATTGGTTTCAGTCTCATAGAATTAATCTCTAAAAACATCTCCTTCCAAAATTTATACACAAATCATACAGATACAGACTGGCATTTCTTCCTGACCAGTAAAATGGACCACTTCTGGGTCTCAACCATTATATTTTTGTTCTGTCTTGTCTTGAAATCAGAATGCCACAATCACTTGACTGCATCCCTTTTGTGTATGAACACCATTCTTACTGTCTATATTTCTGAGATGAGGTATTATGTACACTATTTACATTATTCGGACTATTGTCCTCATCTATGTCACCATATTTATTACAATGTTTCGACCGTTGTATGCTCCAACCACCTAAAGAAGGCAGGAGTGTACAACCACCGAAACGTTGTAATAAATATGGCGACAAAGATGAGGACAATAGTCTGAATAATGTAAATAGTGTACCATTCTTACTTTATGAACTTTTTGCCTTATTGCTGTTGCTTTGTCTACTTTTGACTTGCATATATATTATTTGCTTAGTATTATTTTGTCGTTCTTTTCCTTTCTTTTGTTATTGCTTATTGCAAAATTTGTCAATTACATTTGTTGGACATTTTTGTCAGTTAAACTTAACCATAGCAAATTAACAGCACTAAAAACATTCTGTAAAATAATTCTAATATCTAAGTAAAACTGTGTTTTATTGTAAAGCAATCACTTAAGATATTTTAATGCTTTTTATTACATAGATGTTGAAGTTGGTGAAAATCTGAAAAATATTGTCTGATTGTTGTATTTTCATAGGTTTGATAAGGTCTAATGAGAAGCTGATCTCAAAAATGACCTTCAATCAGTTGTTAATTGGGGCAAGAAATGGATTATAAATTTTAACACCTCCCAAACAAAACTGCTAACTTTTAATCATCATAGAGAACCATTTTTGGCTTCCATCAGCATGGCTGATGCTGAGCTCCTGAAGAGCAACTCTTTGCACCTTCTTAGTCCCACATTTTACACTGACATAAAGTGGAGTGATTATATTGTACCAGTTGTCAAATCTGCTGCTAGGAAAGTTGGTTCACCATGTCATACCAGATAATTTTTTGCAACAATCTTGCACATTTATAAATCTACTAATTGTTCATGCATTGAATATTACTGTCACACCTGATCTGCTGCTTCTACTTTATATCTCAAGATTCTTGACAAAATTCAAAAAGGGGTCTGCAATGTTATCCGTCATGACTGGGCATCTCAGCTTCAGTCAATTTCCCACCACCATGATGTGGCTTTTCTGTAGCTTTTCTACATATATTTTCATGACAATTGTTCTAATGAACTCTCCCCTTGATGCCTCAACCACACAAATTTAAGCGTGCTATTAGATTGATAACTCTGCCTAATTGTTTTACAGTTAAAATTGCTAGACGTAAAAGTAAGTTTTATGTAAACAGTTTCTTTTGCACTTCTCACTTGTGGAGCTCTTTTCCGGCTTCTTGCTTCCCTGTCAACTTTGATCTTCAAACATTTAAATGCAATGTCAATCATTATCTAATTTTACACTTTTATAGTGTTTTAACCCTAATTTGAGGGTTCACTATTTGCTCATAGCTAGAACCCTGACAGGTGCTACCACCCTGGATCAGGGTGGACCTGGGAACACCAGCAATTAAGAGGTGGTTCCACGCTCCTCATAACCCCCTGATCAGAGGCCTTGCTGCTGAACATAGTTTATCGTCTTACCCAGGATGTGAATATAGTTTATCATCGTACTCAGAACGGTATTTGATTTTGACTTGGGATAATAAGTAGATACACATTCTTGACTAAATTTGATGTTTTTCCTTAAGAATAAAACTTTGCCTAGCGTTTCTTAGTTGAAATGGCTTGATGTAACCGTAAGTTCTATGTTAACAGTTTCTTCTCTCAAACTTCACAATTGTGGAACTCTTTTCCAGCTTCTTGCTTCCCTGTCAATTTTGATCTTCAAACGTTTAAATGCAATGTCTCATTCTGAACATGTATGTATGTACTTGGTTCACTCACACTAACAATCCACCATCCACAGCAGCATTTTCTAACTTTTGTAAGCACACTAATGAACAACCTCCTCTGTAAACAATACATAAAGACACTTTTTCCTTTTTCTATTGCAGTTATGATTCCTGCTGCAATGTGGTACTGTCCAAGTTTTGTCCTGTTGATTTCCAGGCCTTCAACGTCACTGGGATTGAAGTGCAGAACATCTACAAAATAGTCAACCGAACCCTTATTAGGAGATTTGAAGATAAAATGATTGCCTTAATACCCGACTCCAATGATGACTTCAGTTTCGTTAACAAGTGAGTAGCTCCACTTATGGTAGCCTGTTCATCCTGCAATGTTGATATTTAACTGTTTTCTTTATCACTTGTTAAAATCTGCTTTTCTTTTTCCAAATTACCATTTTTTGCAGGGTGAATGAATTAAAGAAAAACCAGGATTACCTGTTTTGGATTTACAACCCTGAGTTGCCGCCAGCCATGAGTGACATGGAAATGATTATTGAAAATGGATTCCCTGCATCACATTTATATGAGGTAGGCTTCTCTGCTGCTCAGGCATTGTACCCAGTCAGTTAATTCAGTACTCGTCTCTAGGTCTGTTTTGACCTGACAATTTTTTTAAAGGGATTGATTGGTTTATATCATTTTCCAGACCATACACAACAATTGTTTTAAAGTGATTGTTTGTCATGTCATTTTCCAGATATAACAAATTAATTTTCCAGACTATATACAACAATTGCTTTAAAATGATTGATTGATGGATATGTGTCATTTTCCAGACTATACACAACAGTTGTTTTAAAGTGATGGATTCACTAGCATATGTCATTTTCCAGACTATACACAATGATTGCAGCAAAGTGATGGATTCATTGGCATAGTCATTTTCCATACAACAGGCATAACAAGGTTTATATGTCTCATTTTTTTCACATGTTGCACAAGATAAGTAGTAAATATGTTGTTTTTCAAGGGAATTGCAGCCAACTGACCACATTAAATAGAAAGTAGCAATATTAATTTTTGGCGAGTATTTTCTTTCATCTTAATTTCACTTTTTCATATTTGTAGAAATATTACCTTGAATTTATTAGTAGATGAAATCTTCTCAGCCATTAATAATTTTTATGCTAATATTTCATTTATTTTAATTTGAGTTGTTTTTCCTCACAACTTTTCAGACAATCAATCTGTAGCCACAATTAGCTGTAATATCTTCTTGAATTTAAGTATTTAGAAGAAGCAGTGTCAACAATCGATAGAGCTTATTAAATGGGGAAAGAACTTATTTTTAATTTTGATTTGTATTTAAAATAATAATGAACATAATAAAATTACCATAGACCAATGCAATGAATAGTGATTTACTAAGCATAGCTTAGTTGTGACACAAGGCCGAAAGTATAGAGCGTCAAATTCACTACTCAGTTGTAATTGATCTTGCAAGACATGCTTGCTAACCATTACAACACAACAAAGTACCCAATCTAATGCAATGAATAGCAATTAAATTTCAGATGTCAGAAAAAATACTAATGTTGTTAGTGCTTCATTTAATAATAATTCAAGATAATCTTTACTATTTTTCTTGTTAATGGTCATTATACTAACAGTCTAAGTATTTATGATAAAAAGCAACTACTATTAAGATGAAAGTAATGCTAGTCAAAAACCAACCTTACAATCCGAGGAATATTTTAAAGTAGAAATTAACTAAATAATTCATCACTTTTTTGTTTATGAGCATCATTTGAAATGCAAAAAAAACATTTTTGATTTACTTAAATATGGGCTTGTGTACTGTGTGGCTATCTCATTCACAAAGGTCAGGCAAGTAGATTAGCAAAGTCACGTGCAAGGATTTTTGGCTAAACATAACATTACCCATCTCTATCAGCTTCTTCCCTATCAACCTGCAGTCCATATTTGGCTCACTCTGACTTATGGATGTGCCTATTGAAAGGAGATTTTTGACTATGGTTGAGATTTAGGAGAATGTGATGGGGCAGCTGATGGTAATCCCAAAAGAAGATTTTGCAGACTATTTGGTAAAGTTGAAGGGATGCTGGGATAAGTGTGTTAGGTTCCAAAAGAAGTACTTTGAAGAGGTCTAAGTAGGCTATTTTTAAATGGCAAGATGCTTTGTAAACAGACATTATATGAATCAAAAAATGCAAATTCATTAAGGAAATGGTAAGAATAATAAATAATTAAAAAAAAAAGCATTAACATATTTTAATATGGTTTTTTGTATTGTATTTTATATCTCTACCAAATATTCTTTTTACGTCAACTCAGTTCAGGAATGACATTGCACAAAGCATACTTGGATACTTGTAATATATGAAGAACTAGCTTAAATGCAGCATTTCTTGTGGACTTTTAAGCTAGCTTCGGCAGAGGGCTGACTGGGCCTCCTGCCCAAAATTAAAGAGACCTCTGGTCCACTTTAGAAAACTGCAATGATAATTTTGAAGGAATTCCTCAATTCACATCATGGAAGTTCAAACCCTCACTTTACCTCTTATTCAAGTTATAAGTTCAATTCTGGACAAAAACTGATTTGAGCCAAAAATTGAATTCTTCAAATCATAAACTCCATAGAACATCAATTGATTTGATCAAATCACAAATTCTGTGGAACTTTAAAAGCTAACATCTTGAAATGTTTCACTTTAACTTTGATTCCTTGGTATTTTGAAGAAATAAAACTGATTTCTTCAATTCACAAAATTTTGGAGATATTTTAAACTAAATTTAAAACAAAATTTTTTAAATTCACCAAACTTTTGTGCTACTTTAAACTCAATATAAATTAAAAACTTTTAAAATCACTAATTTTTTTCAGTTATTTTTAAAATTTGAATTTTTAACTGTTCCCTTCTCATCCAGACCCAAATTTCAATGCTGGATGTCCAATCCCGGGATCATGCTGATTCACAAAAAGTATAATATGTCTATTTAGAGCAATGTAGTGGCCTGGATTAGAGAGGTTTCAGGCACACGGACAGACAAACAGAATTTGCTGTTTATTTATTTAGAAGACTGACAAACTTTTACACTAAGTAGTTACATCAATTTTTAATGACTTTCTTTTTTGTGTGTTCATTTTTCAGAGACTGGGTATGAATGCTGCCATCCCATTGGCTAACAGTCTTTATCTTGCTGATCGCTGGCGGATCCACCAAGAATTCATCTCATCAAATTTTGAGAATCAACACGCCAATGCCTGTTTTTTTAGACATGGTAAATCATTTTGATTATATATATATATATACATATATATTAAATTTAATACAATTAACTTAATCATCCATAATAACTCCTCCTCACCATTTACCATATTGCAGAAAACCAACACTATATATGCATTTAAATGTCCCTTGGGAGATTGCATCTCTGACAAAAAAAGTTAATGTATATGTTGGTTATTCTACAATAATGATATCAAGACCACTCACTATACACATGAATGATTCATCGTCCATTGCACAACATCTGCAAAAACATTCCTGTATACATTCACAATTTAGAAAAATATCAGTCAACAATAACTGTATAGTTTATCAAGAATGTAGTAAGCAGAAACTACAAATTATTGAAGCTATCTTTATTAAAAAATTAAAACCAACACTTAAAATTAATTATGAATATAGCACAAATGTTCTGAAATGCTTATAGTATATAGTTCTTTAGTTTAATTTGGCACTGCATATAATATCCATATGAAAGTTGCAATCTGACTAGATTAATTTTTTTTAATCTTATCACTCCATGCAAGGCAGTAAAGTCATTAACACAAGGGTTGGGAAGAGAGATTACTGAGTGTGAAAGAATAAGAAAAAAGAGAAACATTATGAAGAAGCGAAAACAATAGAAGAAGAGTAATCAAGAAGACTAGATTACAATTGACATTGCATTCAAATTTTTGAGGATCAAAGTTGGCTGGAAAATATGGACCCAGAAAAGAGTTCCACAGGTGAAAAGTGCAAGAGAAAAACTGTTAGCATAGAACTTACAGTTAAATCTAGTCAATTAAACTGTGACTTGATTAGACCTTGCCACCAATCTAGTACTGCACATAAATTCATAAAGTCTAGATACAATAGAGGAAAGTTTGTCAGAAAAATTACCATGAAAGTATGTACAGAAAAGGCACAGGGAAGTTACATTATGGGAGTGGGAATTGTCTCGCCTGACACAGTGAACCAACTTTTTTAGCAGCAGACCTAGCAATGGATTCAATATAATCTTTCCACTTCATAGCTGAGAATGTAAGCCCAATAAGGTGCAATGAGTCATTCTCATGGAGGGTAGTATCCGCCACACTGACAGGATACAGGAAGGGGTCTTTTAAGTGATTGATAAAGAAAAGCTTCATTTTGGAGGCATTAAAATTAACAAGCTATTCCTTGCCCCAGTTAACAAAAGACTATAGATCATTTTTTAGATCAGCTGAAGAACACAGCTCAAATGTTTAGGTTAAAAAATGTTTTGGTTTTGATGCATATTGTGGTGTTGGGTGAACCTACCCCATGTACAGCTTATTCTATGTTCAATTTCCCTATCACCTATGCTAAATTTGTTATAACTGATCCATACACCAATGTATTTGAAGTGTTTAGTGTTTATTAATTCCAGGTTTGATCTTTTGGATTGACTTTAACCTGTTCACTGCCAGAGATAGCAAGTCATCAATTTGATGCCATGGACAATTGTATATTTTTGTATATTATTTCCTTCAATAAAGATTGTTTTTTTTTTTTCCTTTCTTTTGTCTTTTAGGAATTCTACTGATGTGTCGTGTCTATCTTGGAAGAAGTACTTCAGCTGTAAGCAATAAAATGTAAGTAAAAAACTATTAAAAAGACCAAAATTATAAAAAGTTACTTGTATGACTGCAAAAGGAGGAAATAAATGCAGATTCTGAGGATATGTAGGATGGATAACAGTTGAGCCTAGACTTGAAGAGGTTAAGATTGTAGTGATCAGGGAAGCATCCACTCGGAAGTCAGTTTCACAAAGTATCGGTTCTCAGGAAGAAACTGTCTAGTTGTATATATATATATAGAGAGAGAGAGAGAGAGCGCATGGCAAGAGAAGAAGACAGATACTTTCTAAAGCATGACAAAGAATTGAGAACCTGAAAAATGATGATTGTCCAGCTCCAGACCAGATATGGCAGCAATACTCCATTTTGAGGTCTGGTCTGACAGCAGTTTCTTACTTGTCCACTTTGGTTTATCACTTATTGTTGTTCAGAAGTGTAATTTAAGCTGCTCTACATCTCATCTTATAAACAACGCTGTGGCACTGCAGTTTTATTTACAGTTTTCACAAATATCTTTCAAGTTTACTTTAAAAACAATTGTCATTGTCTCTTCAAAAATTTTATTGCTGTTCTGAATTATAATTAATTCATACTGTTGTTCAAACACAATTCTGATTGATTAATACCATAAAAATAAGAGAAACACAACCCATCCAGAAATGAAAAATGATCAAATGAAAATATCATGGCAGAATTGGCAAGATTTTTTTAAAAAATATGCACACAAATATGAACTTATTATATATACTGGATAGAAATCAGGTTGGGTGACATGGAGGGGAATGAGATATAATAGTTCAGAGTACAAAGTAACATACCTTGCAGGTTTAGTCAGACCTACCCCCATGCTACCCAAAATTATACATCTTTCTCCCCCTGAGCTATTGGTTGAATAGCAGGTCAAACGGGGTCCTATAGCCTTCGTAGTGAACGATCCAATGAGAAGGACGAAACCTGCAGAGGATCCTTTGAGGACCTTGCGGCATACTGTGCACCATTTCTCTGCATTCAGCTCTTCCCCCCAAAAGTGTGATTGGTTCTGCACAAGCCTTCACCACTATAATCAAAATATCCGTGCAGGTTGTCTGACTGTCGGTCTTAAGAACTGAGCTGCTTGACCCTCGTACATTGTCGTCTTCAGTAGCAGTGTGTGTGTTTCTGATTATTTCACTATGAATTCATTTGGCATTTCAGATAAACCTTATCATATACTAGATAGAAATCGGGTTAGGTAACAGGGAGAGGAAAAAGAGAGATAACAGTTCAGAGTACAAAGTAACATACCTTGCAGGTTTAGTCAGACCTACCCCCCATGCTACCCAAAATTACACAGATGCTTACAATTCACCAGAAGATAGATAAATTTTGGTAAGTTTTCAGAAGTGAAAATTCTTTGTTTCCCAGTGGCAAAGTAAGGATCAATGGCCTGATTTAATTGGTTCAGAGGAACAATGAGGTGGTTAAGAGTTAAATATAACTCCCTCTCCACCCCGTCCTGTGTCTGTCAAAAGTTGAACAACCAGTATTAGAAAGAGCAATAACATTCAGTGGATTTGAGAAGTCTAATATCTGTTTAAAAAAAAAACTGTTTAAAAAGTATTTTACATAATTCAACTAAAGACAGTAATGCTGACTGTTCGGTAAATGAAAAGGTGCAGGTGGTGTAATGAATAGCAGCTGAGAATGAGAAATCAGAGAGCAGAGTTCAAATTCCATTTAGGTGCATTACATTCATTTACTCACAAATACCCTTGAGAAAGGTAAGAACCCATCTTTCCCCAGATATAGGTTAAATATTAGGATTCATATCTGGGGAAAATTATTGTTATTCTCAAAAAATTGTTAATGCAATATTCACTCCCAAAGAGAATTATTCTTATGATTCAAAATATGTTTCAGTTTTAAATAACCCACAAAGGATTGATAAGCCGTAAAAAACAAATCTATCAACATTCCTGTATTGAAATGACTAATCTTGTAATTACCATTTTCCTCAGATCAGTGAATAAAAATATTTTCAAATGAATAAATCCTTTAAAACATGAAGATGATGATCCTTTATCAGATCACATAGACTTGTTCTACAAAATCCCAAGAGCTTTACCAAATAACAAAAACCACATCACTTGTAGACATCCATCATCAGCAGAAATTGGCAGCACATGTAACTAGAAAGAAAAAAAAAATGATATAAGAAATCTGTTTACTTTCCACATTACCAAAAACAACTGTCCTTAGATTGACACCCAAACACTCTGAAATGTTCATATTGGTTCTTCCAGTGTGAATGCCAAGCAGTACATCATGCCGTTTCCAAATTTCTGACAGAGTGAATTGCATCATGGTGCTCTTTTTCTCACAGATGGTACCCATCTGACCCTATTAAACCGTGCAGTTGACAAAATCAAAAACAACTTAAACTTAACCTATCTGCTAAAATCATTTTCATCAAACTGAACAAACGAAATAAATGGAATTTCAATCTGTAAGCATAATCAGAAATAAACAAGAATGAGCAAATGAAAAATGGCAAATGTGTGAAAAAATAAACTTACTTGCTCTTAGAACCTTAGATAATTTAGAGAATTTATGACTACTGTATGCAACTTTTCATCCGAGAAGAAACATCCATATTGTTTTGTTTAGAAAGTGGTCAGGAATCCTTTTACACTCATCTGTCAACAGGGCTCATTTTGTAAACCACAAATAATTAAACATTCAATGATTTTCTAAAGATTTTGTTTGATTTGAAATTAAATACTATGACCGTGGTATAAAAATGCAAAAATACAATGTATAGGTTGATCAACTCTAATCTGACATCATTGGGACCTGAGTAGTATGATACTCAATAGGTACCCCATACTTTCAGCCTTGTGCCACACCTAAGCTATGCTTAGAAAATCACCATCATTGGGACCCGTAGAATGCTGGATAAGTGATTTTGATGAATTTCTCATGGTTCCTTTATATCATTAACTGCAGATGCACTAAATGCTGTAATATAAATTGCACAAGTTTTGCACAGAAATACTGCTCTTAAATTTTTTCAGTTTTGCTTTATTTGTTATGGATAATGTAATGGTAAGCATATGAAGCAACCAAAGAAATGTGAAAATTACTCTTGTGCAAATTGATACCGGATTACTGATTGTCAGGTTGATGATGGTCAATCTTTACTGAACAAATACAAGAAAAGCAGAAATAAGAAATAATTCTTCAAAATTCTTTTACAGAATCTGCCCAGAGACTTACACGGATACTGAATCAGTCTTCAAAACCAAAGCCATGTTGAACCAACATGCCGGTGGGTATACAATGCCTGTATAGTGCCCGGGGACATTTGCACATGTGTGTCTTTCCCAGGAATAATTACTGTATCTGGGGTTTTATAGAGCTCATGGGTTTATAAGACACACAGGCTTCCATGACACCCTTGCACTTGTTTCAGTAGGGAATATTAAACAAAAACTTCAATTTCATATATAAGAATCAGATGATATATTTTAACCCTATTTTACGATCTTATAAATCATAAAATATAGTATATATTAAAATGTATGTATATGTGCATAAATTGGCTGAAGATAATTCTCCCTCTCATTCTCTTCTCTCTCTCTCTCTCTCTATATATATATATATATATATATATATATATAAGGTGTAACAGTGAAATTGTCCAATTGTTAGATTAAGTTTTTAAGTTAACTATTGTATCTTAGAAATGATTAAAGATATCTTACTGGAATTCTTTGAGGTTTAAATATCACGATTGGACTCTACTTTGAGCAATAAAAATGTATAACTACTCTCCAAGCTTAACAGAAAAATCCTGATGAAATTGACCATAAACAAAAATTCATCATTAATTAATCATAGCTAAGGATTGCAAGTTCTATTTTTTAATCTAATCAAATGTGATGAGTTTATCTTTCTAACAGAGATTCCTGAAGTCTTGGGCCAACATTTTCCTTGTTCTTGCCTCAAAGACCAACAGGAATGGTACATCTTCAATCAAGAATACATTGTTCCTGAATATATTATTGAGTTCAAATACATCACAATGGTAAGTATTAGAAATACATAGCAGTTCAGTACTTTTTTTCTTTGTTTCTTATGAAATTTTCCTGTTTCTTAATACTTTGTTTCACATTTTAAAAGGCATCTTTCCCTATGCACCTCCAGATTCTAGTATAACATTTTCCATCATCTGTTATGACATTTTCATTTCTGTACTTAATTGGATTTGATGTTGTGAATTTATATCTCCCATCTTGGACTGTCTAATTTATCCATGGAAATATGTTGTTCCATTCCATAACTGCCATATGTGATGGCCTTGTAAATTTCAAAACTTGTAACGAATCGGGGATTAAGTCATTGGCCATTATTGTAACCTACTGTGCCAGAGGTAGTTTCGCACAATACCGCCAATTGCTACAAAACCAAAACATCAACCTGAAAACTTGAGTCATGTTCTTAAATAGCCTTGTTGTCAGATCAGGAATTTAATATGGTTGTCATGCATGACACCAAAACTATTAAGAAATAGTTAAACTGTCAGCTGTATACAAGCACTTCCTAAGAACAATGGTGAAAAAAGGCTTTGAGTGTCTGAAACCTGACGATTTTGGCAAAGGTCATCCTTCTTTGAATATTGTGGACTGGAACTACTGATTCACAAAGAAAGAACTGTACCAAATAACAGAAACTATATCACTTGATAACTACCAACAACAGCAACAACTAAAACAGATAGCACATTTAAATCAAAATAATGGCATAATAGGTTGTTGACATTCCACACTACTTCAAATAAAAGATGAGGAAGGAAACTCCCATCATTACTGGAAAGAACAATAACAGCTACTGGACTTGAGGAACCTGTTTTCCTAAAAAATTATTTTAAGAGAAAGATTTTATAGATTTTAACCAAAAATGGTCTGGCTGCTTGGTCAGTAATGTTAAATATTTCCTTATAGGGAAATGGCTAATATTACCATTCTCATAAAAGTCTGGTTGTTGTAGTGATGAAAGTAATATACTAAGAGCAATGGAAATAAAAACTGGTCCAAAAAGAATCAATGTATAATGTTGTATTCATATGCAAATCTCCATCATATAAATAGCAGTTGATACAAATGGAGTCTAAACGAGTCCTGACCTTGAAAACTAAACTTCTAGAGAAATAGTAGAGAATACTTCTAGCTAATTATAGCTCACAACATTCTATTCCATACTAATTTATTTTGCTTTGGATATCATCATGGACAGTCTACTAAAACCTAAAATTCTGGATCTAGAGAGTAAGATCCCCAGCGCGAAGAAAATATGGAATCATTGGTACTGAATATTTTTAAATTTCCTCAAGCATATTGAGAATAAGGAGTTGAATATTGTTATAAACTCTGTCTCATCTGATGAATATAAACTGTTGAGCAAATGTACAAATTTTGAAGAAGTTATAACATTCTAACGAGAGCTTTCATCCAAGAAAAAAGTGACATATATGCTAGGCATGTGCTTGTGATCAGAACTCAACAGGCTGGAGAAACCTTGAATCAATATCTTCATGAATTGCATGTTCTGGTGAAGGACTGTAAATTCAAAGATGTTACCATTCAAGTTTGCAAAGCAAAAGCTATTGGAGATACTTTTATTTCTGGGTTATCCGCACCTCCTATTTGGCAGAGATTTCTCGAAAACAAAACACTCACCCTCACAGAAGCTGGAAATGAAGCACAAAGTGTGGAAAGGGCTATCCTAAATTCTGAAGCCTATTCTGCTGATTACCCAAACAAGTTATTGAGCCGCATTAGTATCAGAATCGTGGACTAACACCTTAACTTCTCAACAAGAGGAAAATGAAAAGGAGGAGGACTCTTGGACATCCACTGCTAGCAGTTCTCTTTTAAGTAAAAGATGCTTTTTCTGTTGAGGTACTAGGCACCCTATAAGTAAGTGTCTGGCTTGAGGAAATAGTTACTACAATTACAAGAAGGAAGGTTATTTCACTAAAGTCTGTTGTTTGAAAGCTAATATATTTTCTGCTGCATTACCCACCATGGCTGCAGTAACTACTGGGCTACACGGAGTTTCAAAAGCCACATTAAAATGCTTCATTTAACAAAAAAAACTTACTATGCTAGTACATTTGGGAAGTAGTCAAATTTTTATTGATGCCAATATAGCTCAGTCTATAAGTTTGGACATTAAACCTACTAACTCTATTGACAGCATGGCTTCGTCTGACTTGTTATTAAAAACTATTGGAAAATGTAAAGCGAATCTTACAGTGGGTACAAAAACTTAGAAAAAAATTTAATTAATTCTTAATGAATAATTTATGTGCTGATGTGATCCTTAAACAAGCCTTTCAAGGCCTAAACAAAAAAATAGAAATTTTATATGAGGGTGACAGACCATCTCTAAAACTGTGTGGATGAGCTAGCATGAGGGTTTCACCTTCTCTTCCTCCATTTGTTGCCTGACTATAGACATATATCTGTGAAATCCCTAAAATACTCTAGAGAAGAGCAAGCCTTTATAAAGAAGGAAATAAAAACCTGTTAGATTCAGATATCATTGACCCCAAAAGATCCCTATGAAGAGTGCAAGTAGTAGTAACTGCTGATGAGAAACGAAAAAAAATGTTTACTCATAGATTATTCAGAAATAATAAATCATTTGAACTTAAAAGATGCCTATCCTCTACCTAAGATTACGACAATGGTTTCTGAAATAGCAAAGTATAGTCTGTACTCTAAACTAGACGTAAAAAGTGTATATCATCAAGTACCCCTATTGTAAAGCAGGCCACCCTTACACGGCTTTTGAAGCCGATGAGACATTGCATAATTTCAAAATGATGCTGTTTGGAATCACAAATGGAGTGGCTGGGTTTCAAAGAATTTTGGATGAAATAATCAAAAAGGAAAATCCTAAAGGGAACATTTGCATATATAGATGATGTGACCATTTGTGGTATTAATAAAAGAGAACCTGATATTATCTTGGCAAGATTTAAAGAACTGATTGAAAAGTACAGTCTCACCTTAAATGAAAATAAATTTTTTACAGAGTAATGAAAGTAAAACTTCTGGACTATGAAGTAAGTAAAGGGATCATTAGATCAGACTCTGAAAGGATGAGACCTCTACAAGAACTTCCTCCTCCATGCAATATAAAAGCTCAGAGTAGAACTATCAGGATGTCTGCTTACTGCAGTCTTTGGATCCCAAACTATTTGCTAAAAATTCACAAGATAAATAACAATAGTATATTCCCCTTACCTAAAATAAATGTTTCCTTTGAATATTTGAAAAGGGAATCAGAAAAAGCAGTAGTACACATTCTAGACAAGGAAAAACCTCTTGGAATTGAAACTGATGCTAGCTATGTGAGCTTATCTGTGACACTAAATCAAGGAGGCAGGCCTGTTGCATTCTAGTCCATAACTCTAAACCTCTCTGAACAGAACCACTCCTCAGTAGAGAAAGAAGCTAACGCAATTATTGAATCAATCTTGGAATGGAGATATTACCTGAAAGTTAAATATTTTATTCTTGTAGACCAAAAAGTCTATCCTACATTTTCATTAAGCATAAAGTTTCGAAGACTAAAATGACAAAATTTATCGCTGACAAATTGAACTTTCCACTTACAAATGTGGTATCAGACATCAAAACCAGATGTGTTAACGAGAGTACATTGTGCTTTTGTTATAAATCTTGACCTTAAAGATTTAAATCTACAGTATCAAGAATGATGTTCATTATCAGGCTGAGAAATTTGCTCTATTCAATAGAACAAGTAAGGAAAATGACTGAAAAGATGTAATGTGGGTGCCATAGAAAAGCCAAGATTTGTGAGAGGAGGAAGCAAATTAATCAAAGCTACTCAAACCAATGATTTCCTTCAAATTGAGGAGGAGACAAATATTTATTGACTATAATTGATGAATATAGTCATTTCCCTTTTGCTTTTGCATGTAGGGACATGCTCACTATAACTATATTTTGCTTAAGTAAATTATTTTGCATATTTAGTATGCCAAGTTATATACACTCTGATAGAGGACCTAGTTTTATGTCAGAGGTGTTAAGAAAATTTTTTCAAAAGAAAGGAATAGCTACTAGTAGATCTACTGCATACAACCCACAGGGAAACAGTCAAGTGGAGAGACTGAATGGAACTCTGTGGAGGACAATCAACTTAGCTTTAAAATCAAGAGGTTTACCTGTGCAACAATGAGAAACTGTTTTATCTGATGCTCTCTACTCGAATTGTTCCTTATTGCGTACAGCCACAAATTGTACTACACATGAACAGATGTTTTCTTATCCAAGAAAATCTACCTCTGGAAGATCTGTTCCTTCGTGATTGACAGTTCCTGTGAAAGTGTTCATGGGAAAATATGTTCAGAACAAGTACGAACCTGCTGTATAAAAAACTGAGCTGATTTGTGTGAATCCCAATTACGCTTTGTTAGGTTACCGAATGGTAAAGAAGGTACTGTTTCTCTGTGTCACCTTACTACTGCTGGGGAGGGAAGGACAATCTCCAAACCTGAAGCAGTTACTATAGTCTCAAAGAGCTCTATACTGAATTTGGGTGGAAATAACATACCAAAATCAAAAGATACTGTATCACAACTAGTGTCGAGTGATTCAACTGAAGGGCTCAATCAGGAACCTGTAACTTACTTAGCCTAAACATTTCAAAAATGCCCCCCCCCCACCAAATCCTCTAAGGTTCTCTAAGTGTATCACAAAAAAACCTAAATGACTTGGTATCAAACTTCAAAAATTGAATTAATTTGGTTGCTTTTGAAACTATATTCTTTTTCCTTTGCCAAAATAAAGTATCCCAAATTTACATTGTCAAAAAAAAGTGGTGGAGAATGTTTTATTCATATGCAAATCTCCATCATATAAATAGCAGTTGATACAACTGGAGGCTAAACTAATCCTGACCCTGAAGATGAAATTACTAGAGAAATAGTAGTGAATACTTTTAACTAATTATATATATAATTTATCAATTTATAATGAAATGTCATATCTTATAATTCCCAATAAAAATTAAACTTACTCTCAATGGCATCAAGATAATGATTATTTGCTTTCTGTTCTCCAGCCAACCAATGAGAATCCGTTCATGTTAGTGGATACAGGACAGAGCCAAAACGAATTCGACAAACTCTTGGCTCATTGTTCGTCTCCTTTGTATGAAGTAGCTGATCAAGAATCAATACAAAAAGGGATTAATCAATTGGGAGATATGCCCAGGTATGTAAACTGAATGGATTGAACATTTGAGAAGTTTGATCACTTGTCACTGTTTTTTGTTTTTTATATGCCAATGGAATTTGAGGAAGGACAGATTAACTAGTAATTGAAATGTATCAAAAAATGTTTTCATTTCTCTTATATTTTGCACACTGACTCGTAAAGGGAAGTGGCAAAAGTCTATACTACACTTGGTTTTTATATACTGTTCAAATTCAACCAAAATATATTTGTATATTATATATATATATATATATATATATATATATATATATATATATATATATATATATATATATATATATATATATATATATATATATATATATATATATATATATATATATATATATATATATATATATATATAAAATGGACAAAGTTCAATTATTATTTTAAGATATTTTATTGTTACACATTATTTATATAGACACAAATATTTAATTAAATGCTCTGTTTATAATAAACAGTATTAATAACTTTTACCTGCCTGAACATCCGAGAAATTTTCATAGAAAATATGTGTTCTCCAACAGGAATTGAACCTGTATCTTAAATGGAACTGTCATATAGCCTGATGTGCTATACTAGTTTAGCTACATAGGAGCATCTGGTTAGCAAGATCAATTTTACTGCTTTTAAACTACAATTTTCCATGATTTCCTTTGAACGATCATATCTGCTTGAAGCATATCTAAACGTAAACAAATGATGTCACACACTACGAAATGAACAAAGTCTAACAATTATTTTAAGATATTGTTAAACATTATTTAAATGTAAATTATGTATAACAATAATATATATATATAAAAGTGGGCATTGAAGTCAACACCCAACGGCTACAGTCTGTTTCATGCTAAATGCAATCATCAGGACATGGCTGGACAATTACATTTATCATGAAACAGTCACCTCTGGATATTGACTTCAATGTTAACTTTTATATTTACATATGCGCTATACCTGATATTGAACATTTTAATCCACAAATATAGCATACTTTAAAACTTTTATCATACATGCACACACACACACACATATGAAATGGATTAAGTCTAACAATTATTTAATATATTTTCTGTTTAAATATATTTCTATAAAAATATTTCTATTATATAAAATATATTTCTATTATAAATATATTTCTATAAAAATAATGTATAAACAGAATATATATATATATATATATATAAAAAAATAATGTATAAACAGAATATATATATATATATATATATATATATATATGTATTCCAGAATACCAAAAAGAATTAACTAGCTCACTAAACATAATGTTTCGCAACAATCTAATCGACAAGGAAACATGCACAACACTTACACCCACAAACATTACACCTGCCCGCTTCTATCTCCTTCCTAAAATACACAAAAGCAACAATCCAGGAAGGCCGGTTATTTCATCGTTCAACTGCCACACGACAAAAATTTCCAAATACATAGACCATTACATACAACCGCTAGCTAAGGAAGTAAAATCCTACATTAGAGACACAACAGATCTACTGAACAAAATTAATCACATACAAACAGTACCAGAGAAAGCTATTCTCGTGACTATGGATGTTAGGTCACTATATTCAAACATTAAAAAACATCGAAGGGCTGGCCGCCCTTCAGGAAGCACTTAAAAAAAGAAGAAAACAGGACCCCCCCACAGAAGTCATCATAAAACTCATGGAGCATGTCCTTACATTGAATACTTTCAACTTCAATGGAGCACACTACCTTCAAATAAGAGATTGTGCCATGGGCACCATTGCAGCTCCATCATATGCTACAATATTCATGGGAAAATTTGAGGAGACCCATATCTATCCAGTCATTGGTAGCGACTGCGTATTCTATGCAAGATATATCGATGATATATTCTTTGTATACACGGGTAGTGATGACAAACTTACCCAATTCTTTATGACCCTAAACTCAGTGCACGACTCAATTAAGTTTGACTATGAAAAATCCACAACATCAGTAACATTTTTAGACACCCGCATTTACATAGATGAAAACAGGAAACTACAAATGACACTACACACTAAAATCACCGACACCCACAACTATCTACACTTTAAGTCTTCCCACCCTAAACACCTCAAAGAGAACCTTCCCTATTCACAAGCACTTAGACTCAGAAGGATATGTTCCAACAATGAAGAATTAAATAAACACATTGAAAATCTGGAGCATCAATTCACAACACGTGGCTATCAACAACACCTAATCGGGGAACAAATAAATAAAGCAATTTCCACACCTAGAGAAGACACCCTAATATACAAGATTAAAGCCGCATCCCTCTAGTAACCACTTTCAATCCCACTCTGCCTCCACTATCCCAAATAATCAAACGTCGCTGGGAAATACTACATCTCAAACCAGACCTAAAAAAACTGCTTAAGGAACCCGGCCTTCTTGCATATCGTAGACCTAAGAACCTAAAAGAAATCATAGGTAGTAACTACATTTCAAGGGACAAGGTAATCCGTAAGGAACTGAGAACAAAAACAACAGGATTTTCCCAACCATGTAACAACAAAAGAAGTTTATGTTGCAACCATATTAAAAACACAAATTCATTCACTAGCTCAATCACTAAATCTACTTTCAAAATCTACCACGATTCTAACTGTAGAAGTCAAAACATAATTTACCTCCTAGAATGCACACTATGCCAGAAACGATATGTAGGAAAATCTGAATGGCCCTTTAACTACAGAATTAATAATTATCGTAAGCGAATTAAATCGACTCCCTATGAACAATTATTATCTGTAGAACAACATTTCCGCCTAGAAAAACACGATTTCAAAACCCATGCCAGATTCACTATAATTGAGAGAATAGAAAAGTTCAGAGCAGATAACATTAGAAAGATTTTAGAGTCCCATGAAAATAAGTGGATACAACGTCTAAAAACACAATACCCAGCTGGGCTAAATCATAAATTTAACAATATATAATAGTAACAATCAACAAATCAAAACCTACCCACATTTCTCACCCACACAAGACAGACATGCTTACGGAGGAATGGAGGCCTCACACTTATACACTCACCCACACGATTATACACACATACACACACCATACTCACTCACTCCCTAATGAGCCAAATGATAACACACACCTACAGCAATACACACGCTTACACATATCATACTCACTCACTCCCTAAGAACCAAATAACACACACACAAACACTAAACAGAGACACATCCCTCACCAGGTCCAATAAAACTGTCAAACTGACCAGAGAATTCAAGATAAAATGTATCTATCCAGTTCTTATCTCAAATAACAACTTAAAAGAGACTGTTTGACCAACACAAGGAATGTTAAAAGATTCATGTGAAAAAGATAAAAAATAAAAAAACAAATGAAAACTACAGACAAAAGTTCATTTTCTCCAACAAAAGACATTCATTTCTGTAGTTCCTTGCCAACAGCAAGCAGAAATATTTCGCCTCCCGATGATGGCCATTTCGGTCGAAACTAGTCGAGGAATCTAAATGGAATAATAATAATAATAATAAAACGAAAGAATATTAATCTACAACCCAGTGTGTCTAATGATTTTAATTTTTTAATTTTTTTTTTTTTTTCTTATTGTTCAAAATATATATATATATATATATATATATATAAGTTAGGCTGGAAGCAAGCTTTCCTGCAATATTCTCAATCTTGTATAGTCTTTCTGAGTTTTTCATACATACAAATATGCCTAGGAAACCTTGTACTCATATCATCAATCTATGGTATATGCAAATAGATGGGAAATTTCTGGGAGATAATTAGCTTGGGTTTTAAAAATGTTATTTTTTCCAGAATATAACCTCTCAAATATCCAACAGGTATCCATTTTGACTTGGAACTTTCTCTGAATATAATTTTGTTTCTGAGCCAAATCTCACTTTGAAAATTAAATATAATCATTACATTGGGTTACTATCTTTATTTAGGTTATCTTAACATATTTTCTTTTCATCTGCACTTTTCAGCCATCATCAGGTGAGCCTCAGCTACTGTGAGTTCAAAGTACATTCGACTAAAACAAGAAACACAATGGTGGTATAATAATCATATAAATCACTAAGACATAATTGACATATAGTTAGGCCAGATGCAAGTTCACGCTGAGTAAACAATTTCTCTCCAATATGCTCAATCTTATTTACACTATTTACATTGTTCGGACATTTTGGCCATTGTATGTCTGGCCTTCTTCAGATGATTGGAATTTCAAACCAAACCCTTTATTTCATCCTTTGGGGTAGATCAAGCATAGACATGAATACCGTTACGATAGGTATTCTCTCTGACAGATGTAGTCTCATCAAGAGAAGATAACTCTTCTATAGTTATAGCGATATCGCCTTTTATACAGTACTTCATTTACATATCACTACACCTCCCTGAACCTAAGAGGCTTTATACCTTTAGTTGATCTTTGACTTCTAAGAAAAAGTCTGGATACACTCATTCTCTCCTCCCTCACCTGTTCTTCACTTTCATATCTCTGGTGGTCTTCCTGATCACTCAATACTGAATTCATTCATCCTTTCTTGCATTGTCTGTTCTTCTGCTTCCTCTTCCACCTCCTTTTCTATAACTTCATGTTCTCTTGTGGTTCTAAGTTGGTCTTTGTGAGTTAGTAATGCCCTGTCCATTCTTTGTTAACACAGCCGTGTTAAATCCCTTTTGCACCACAAAATTCGCCTCTTTAGGACTTGAATCCTTGTCCTTTCTGTACCACACACTTTCATTGCAAATGACATGGTAATTGAGGCACTTATTTGTCTTCCTATCAATGGATGGTCTTTGTCTTCTGCCTGTATGTGGAATAGCTCTATAACTTAGGAGTAGTCTGGATAAATAACTCTCTAAATTACAATCCACTGGAGAGAATGCATTTAATCCCATTTTTACTGTTTGAACCATTCTCTCTGCAATTCCATTTTGATTGTGGGTGGTAAAGT